AATAAGAACAAATCACTTTGACAAAAATACATCAAACAGTTGTGTAAAATTTGGCAAATGGGGGTAATTGCTACAAACAGAACATATCAAAGTATATTTTGTGAATGGGGATACCCTGTCAGACATAACATATCAGTAAAAGGAACCAAAAAACCCACAAATATAATGTATCAAATGAATGTGTTTGAGTGTGTGGTGTGCGTGTGCACTGTGTGTGTGTGTGTGTGTGAATGGAGATAAACAACCACAAACATAATGTATCAAATGTTTTTCGTGAATGAGGACATACTGCCATAAATAAATATATCAGTTTATAACTTTTTTTTTTTAAAATGAATGGAGATGAACTGCCACAGATAAAATGTATCAATTGTTTTTATGAATGGGGATGAACTGCCACAGATAAAATGTATCAATTAATGTTTTTATAAATGGGGATGAACTGCCACAGATAAAATGTATCAATTAATGTTTTTATAAATGGGGATGAACTGCCACAGATAAAATGTATCAATTAATGTTTTTAATATGAACTGCCACAAATAAAATGTAATTAATGTTTTTATAAATGGGGATGAACTGCCACAGATAAAATGTATCAATTAATGTTTTCATGAAATGCCACAGATAAAATGTATCAATTAATGAACTGCCACAGATAAAATATATCAATTAATGTTTTCATGAATGGGAATGAACTGTCCCAAACTGAATGTATTAGTGTTGCTACGAACGGAAATGAACTGTCACAGATAAAATATATGAGCAGTGGCTGACCAAACAGTTAGAATGCTGAGCACTCAAGCTGGAGACCCAGGTTCAATCCTCGGTAAGGCTGTGGAACTTTTTTCTGCGGTGGTGTTGGCCAAAAACTAAATTCTAAAATGCAGTCCGTAGCGACAGCACTAGCCATGTGGCCCTAAATCTTCAGGCTAAAAGACCCCCCTGCCTACAATGCAAAAGTGGTGAATACAGGCAGTAAAAGCAGTTTTTTGTTTTGTTGTGACATGATTATGTGAATGGTGACAAACTGCCACAATTAAAATGTAAGAAAAACTTGCTTTTGTAAAGATGGACAAACTACATTAGGAATAAAAAGCTTAGCTTTTGTGAACTGGAACAAAAGATCACTTTTACATATTCTTGCAAAAATACGGACACACAAACAAGAAATCAAATGTTTCATATCACAAACTTCAAGCCAGCAACAGAGGAATGCTACGGAAGGAACCCACTACTTCACATTTCCTGCACTTAGGTATCTACGAGGGGGTTTTAAATGGAAACCTTAGAAGTGTGATAGAAATTACAATAACCTGCCAGTAATGATGTTATGGATGTCAAATGTGTTAAGTGCAGGAGAATACTGTCACCTCGGTCATAATGACATTAAAATGATGGCCGCCCCACTATTGACATGCACTAAACAGAAGCAGTGCTCTGTTATCCATTTTTTAATCAGCAAAGGTCAGGACAGGCATGCTTCATGCTTCACTGCGGAGGACACGGGTGAGGAGTACTGTCTGGATTTTCTCACCGAGACACACCGATGTGGTGGGAAATGAACAGGCGTACGGACTGGCTGGCTCTGCACAACTTGGTGGAATACTGATGCATAATAAGGCAGACGTGTTAGTGCCTTGTGGGAGAGCGTGTACAGCTCGGAGGAGCAGATGGATCACCACAGTCAGGGAAGATTGATGCAGCGGGGAGTGACAAGAGGTTCTGGCAGATGCTCGAGGCTCAGAGAAAGGCAAGACGGACGTTTAATCAGAATGCTACTAGCACCATTAGTATTGGAACTCTTCACTGGCTGCTGAGGATGAGGACGGAGCTCTTATGGGAATGCCCTGAGTGCTGTGATGTCCGTTCTTGAATCAACTCAACTAATCAGCGAAGGGTGAAACCTATATAGATTCATAGGGGAATGAAGGTCCTGTACAGCGATGCATGCCAGTTAGTCCAGCAAGTGTATGAGTGAAGTAGGAAGTTTCAAAACTGCATGACTTTTGTGACAGACTGTTCACGACTAGGTCAGACATAGTCTGTTACAAAAGTCACGTTGTTTTTGACCCTCTGGAAACGATGCGGCCAAAATATCGGCCTGGCACAAAATAGCTAAAAGGACATCTGGGCCGATCGGTCGGCCTTATGTAATACAAGCCTTGAGATTGGCTGGCAGGTTTTCATAACAGCCAATCAGATTACTTCTCGGATTTCTTGCACATGTGGGCTCTTCATTGACGGCTTTTGAGAAAGTTTGATGTGTTTCTGTAATTTTACATCAATTTATTTTTGGGGTTACCTGTGCTCAACAGTGGGAAAAGGACTGTTGCATCATAGCAACCAAAACATAGCTGGAGGCAGGAAAATGAGTAGAACCATGTGCCAGAAGTGTCTGAAGGGCCTTACTTCCCAAAACATAAGTGTTAGGACTTATTCAAGCTTCATTCATAAGAAAATTCACCCACATTTGTTAGGTTAGTCATGTTTATTCCCAAGTTAAAAATAAAAAAAATACTTGCATAAATTAGGCAAATCAGAATAATTAATTTGAATAAATGTTGAGATTTCAGTTTGATTCATAAATATTATGTTAGCTCATTCAATTTCCTACACGAATATATAGTTTCTTTATACGTTAATGAAATGCTTCATTTTTTATAATTTTTTGTAAATAAACTGTGATGGCCCCTCCTGAAGACTTAGTCTTTTTGGCACTAAAACTCCAAAACTTCCTAATCCACTTATAAGCTCCATCTCTAGGTTAAACTTCCTAATCCACCTATACGCTCCATCTCTAGGTTAAACTTCCTAATCCACTTATACGCTCCATCTCTAGGTTAAACTTCCTAATCCACCTATACTGGACTAACAGGCATGCATCACCATACTGGACCTTCACAGACCAATAAATTTTTATAGGTTTCACCCTTTCAATGATTGAAAAAAAAATTAAAAAACAAAACCACACACAGAATGCTGCTGCTCTTCGGTGCATGTCAAAAGTGGAGCTGGGCTGTCATCTTTAAACTGACAACAGAACGTCCTACGTTTGTCTGCAGTGTGATGCCACTTAACATCCTAACCAACAATACTGACAGATTACCAGAAAAAGGCATGGTTATTGCATCACCCTTCTGAGGTTTCCATTTTAAGCCCCTTCATACTTTCTGCTGGGTTGAAAGGAATATCCATTCAAATTAGCGTTGGGACAGACATTTTATAATCGACCCGGCTTCCACCTCAACCCAACTTAAAATCAGTACCAGGAAATGCTCTTAAAGGTGAAGGCAGCTGGTGTGATGCTGACATCACTCATGCACCGGGTGCTGATAAATTTATACAAATGTGTTTTAAGCATCACATGCCCAATGAACAAGTGTATAAGGTCATTCACTTACTTTTTTTAAATCGACCTTGTTTTTTTTTTTTTTTTTTTTTTGACCATGTTTGCTTACTTGTTTTTACTGACGTTGTTTACTGACTTTTTCTCACTGACCTTGTTCACTGACTTTTTTTTTAACCGACCTCATTTACTTTTTTTTTTATAACCGACCCTGTTTACAAAATTTTGTCTTAAACCGACCTTGTTTCCTTATAATTTTTTTTAATCGACCTAGTTTATTGAATATTTTTTTGTTTAAACGACCTTGTTTATTATTTTTTTTTAACCGACTTTGTTTACTAATTATTTTTTTTTAAACCGACCTAGTATACCTATGGTGTTTTTTTACCGACCTTGTTTACTTATTTTTTTCCAACCTTGTTTACATTTTTTTGTTTTACTGACCTTGTTTACTTACTTTTTTTAAACTGACCTTGTTTACTGACTTTTATTTGTTTATTTTACCGACCCTGTTTACTTACTTACTTTTTTTGTACCGACCTTATTTACTTACTTGTTTATAATGATGACCCTGTTAAGTAACTGTTTATTTTATTTTACTGACCTTGTTTACTTACTTTTTTACTGACCTTGTTTACTTACTTGTTTACCGACCTTGTTGAAAAATTTTGTTTTCAAAATGACCTTTGTTATTTACCTTTCCCAATGACCTTGTTTACTTACTTTTTACTTGACTTTTGGAAAAGAATATTTTATTCCACACCTCTAAATTATTCTGCCTAAGTAATACACCACTGCCAACTGTATTCTGTACTACAGCTACTTTTCAAATGCAAGTCACAATAGTAAAAAAGTGCAAAAGAGCTCATTTTAATTGCAAATTATGAGGTAGATGTGAATTTTAAACATTAGCACACTAAATTAAGACTTCCATTTCAAAATAAAGAAGGGATCCCACCAATTCAATTTCAAATAAATTAAAAATATTGACGTGATACGTCACCTTTTATTTTTGGGGGGGGGGGGGGGGGGGGGGGGGGGAGAATATATAATTTATTTTGTCTCTGCTATCTTAAACATCTTATATGATTCTTCATAAGTTAAAAAGTTAAAAAAAAAAAAAAAAAGTATCTTTCAACATTCCCACAATTTATGGACAAAAGTTGTAACATTTGTTATTCAGTTACTCTGATGTTTAACAAATCCCTCTGCAGAGTGGCAACTCCTAATTCTGTCTGCCGAATGGTCAATTTTATCTCAGATTCTATCTACAGCATGCTATCCAGGAATCATCTTCACTCAGCTGCCATCTCCGCAAAGAACGCTGGCTGCAATAAATCTTGAACCTGTTGTGTCTTTTTGTACTGGTTGCACATTTTCTGAGGCTGCTGTTCATACATCTCTTAATGTTATACTCCCAACTTGTATCACGGTCTAGCCCTTTTTATTTCCTTCAACAACTCTCTTGTCATTCCTAGTCCCTTCAGAACCTCTGTATTTGATTGTTTTTGTCTGTATCTGTTTCACAAAAGTTCAACAATTTACGGACCATTTTCAACAATAAATGAATGTTCATCCATGACACATCCTGTCATCCAGAATCCAACTCCAATGAAGTCTTTACATGTTGTATAAATATCCAGCAGCATTCCTATGTGCTGTTTGTTAGATATTTATTGTTGTTGTTATTATTGCTTGGCGACCCTAGCGGAGACAGACGAGCGCTAGGGGAAGATAAGGGCTCTGTGGGTGACAAACTGGCTATGGTTGGTTCCATTGACTTCCAAATGTCGGACATCTGTGGGGATGATCAAGAGTAAAATTATTTGTTGTTATACACAATTAATCATCTAGAACAAAAAGCAAATACTTTTTCTTCTCCTTTGCGCTCACTGGCGCTAAACTTCAGCGGAAAGTTCTAGTTGCTCATCCACTTCTGGACTTTGGTCTTGTTCCAGAACTTGCTTGAGTTTTGCAGGCCCATCCATTTTACAGATCTGGTTGATTTGTTTGCAGACTGGTGATTCCTTGCCTCTCAGGCTGACGTACTCCCAACTTTAAAAGAAACGCCCCTAATTAGTTGTCTCCTACAACATGCATGTTAAGGGGTGCAGTGAGTCTAATCTTTGTTTTAAGCGCAGGTGAAATTAGTCATCTTTCAATTATAAAGTTACTGAGGAGATCTTGGAGCATCTGTAGATCTGCCTAAAGTGCTGTAATAATAGTCATCACTAATCAAGGAAGACTGGCTAATAAACAGCATCTTGTCTCAAAAGCTGAAATATTTTGGTCATAACAAGTGCGTGGCGCGGTGATTTCGGTCACAGGCATGAGGGGAAGTTAAGTCTGATGTGATGTGTATAAGGAGATATTCCGTACCCCACTCGGGCGCCAGTCCTTCACTGTTCTGGTTTTACGGAACCTCATGCAAGACTCCTGTTGCACGTCCCCGTCGTGCGCCACGGATAATGTCTCAAATGAGCATTAACAGAGTTGGCAGGGGATCTCGGAGCTGGCGGCCCCTAGAGGTGTAGAGTCCTTTCTGGCTCTCACCAGCCCGCCCCCAAACGCATAGGTGAAAAGTAACAAAACTCAAGGACTGCTTGCTAAATGTACCATCAAATGACAACTCTTGGTTAAAATTTGGGAGCGAATGGAAAACTGTGCTGCTGAGACTCAACCCTGACCCGCAGCCAAGACGAGTAACATCTCTTGTGGGCGACTTCTCGCAGCAAGATCCCACCTACGTACATCCTCTGTCAATCCTCAGTGTCGTCGTCACCGCGCTGAGGTACACCATGGCAGCAACTATTCATATGCTGGCTTGAAAACAATGTCCGACAAAGTTACACCCCATGGCACACATGCAAGCTCAAAGTCCGACGATCATAACGCGTACCGATTAGGAAAAGTCTGAATGTCCGTATCCACTGGTCCAACTCGCCCGAGTGTTGGGACCAAACAGGTGAAGCCACGCCTGACGCATTTTGCTTCCCCATTATGTCGTGCTAAGGGCACAGCTGAAACAACGTTAAAGGTGTCTAACGTAAGATGAAAAAGAATGTACCTATTTGTGTGGCCACAAACGTCCTGGACCTGCGGGCTGCGAGCATCATGTGTCGGCTCTGCATTTATGGAAGCCTCCTTGGATGGCGGGGAATGCCCATGATCTGCCCCTGCCTTCCCTTGAGGGCTGAAAACTCTACATAGAGCTGCCTTAAGGACGACATGCCGGGGGCCACACTTGTTAAAAGTCAAAGAGGACACCACACAAATAAGGCAACATCTCGACCCACACAAAACAATAGCCACAGTCAACCTAGAAATAGGCTTGACGTCTTCCTCCGAAGTCGGAGTACATCTGCCGGAGAGGCGGGGAACGAGTACTGCAAACAAATAAGCCAGTAAAACGGATGTACACGCAAAACTCAGGTCAAGGTAAAAGCCAAAAGTCCATTTTGGACGAACAACCGTGACTTACCGCCCGAATTCACAGCCAGTGAACAAGAAGAAGAAAATAACAAGTGCCATAGTAGATTGGAAAAAATAATAATAGTCGAAGGCATGGAGGGAGGAGCAGGGGGCCGACCAACATTAAGATGATATAAGTGACTCCTTGAATATGAAAGTACACAAGTACACCGAGTTTCTGTGATGACAGCAACATTCCGCAAAGGATCTGCTACATGATGATGAATCACTTTTTACAAAATTTATTTCAATAAAATCATGATCCAAATATTGCTAATGGACTCTGATATGTAATCAAAAGTTTAAACAAACACACACAAATAAAATGATGTGATAATCAGTATCAACTACAAATCACTTACATCTGCATTTGTTTTTGATTCCACAGTGGACAAACAAGCAACAAATTCATAAAAAATGTCCAGATGTGTGTGCACCAACTGAGTCTCCATCTGCAAGCAGTGCAAAGAGAAATAGTTCCGGTTCTCCATGTTCGCCAGAAGGTCCTCTTGCTAATGAAAAAAAAAATACGAATTCACGTTAGTCAGGCCAATGCTTTCTTGTCTTCCACAAAAAATATTTATTTATAAATTTCATAATTCTTTGCTCCTCTATTGAGAAGAGAGGATTCCCTGTGTGAATTCCGGAGCCTCATTGGGGGATGGGGCAACAAGAACAGACCCACTGCCTTCCCAACAAGCATGTTATAAGAGCCGCCCAACTGGGGACTTCCTTCGAAGTCGGAGTGCATCTGCCCGAGCGACAAGGAACAATCAAATGCACACAAATAAGTCAGTAAAATGGATCTACATGGAAAACTCAGGCCCTGGCAAAGCTAAAGTCCAAATGGACAAACAACCAGGACTTTCCAACGAAGCTTACAGCTGGCAAACAAAGAAAAAGAAGAAGGAGAGAGAATCAAAGTTGTACATTAAAAAATAAATCAGATACCGACTCCATGAAGACTGGCGGCTGCAAAGAATCTCCAACACCCTCTGTCCGCATGTAAAAATCGGACCACAGTATATCCATCTCTTGATATTATCTTCCCATTTGTTTTACTGTTTACCTTTTTTTTTCCAATCTAATATAGTTTTTACCTGATCACCAATCAATTTTTAAAACGAGGTCAAATTATTTCCCTTGCCTTTTTTAGTTTTTATTTTACTAGTAACCTAGATCTGCATAAATGTTTTATCCATTCGTTATTTCTTTCCAAATTTTTGAAGCAAGTCTTCCAATTAACATCCATCTATAGTACCTCAATTTGATTTTTCTAACTGCCTGTTCATTGTAAGGGTTACTTTACCATATAATAGTACACATATATATATTTATATATATACTAAATGTAAACGGACCAAGTAACACACCTTCCTTCCCTGTTGGGTTCCAGGGCCCCTTTGTGAGAGAGAAATAAAGAATATACTCTTTGCCCCTTCCCCCTAAAAAATGTGCATGCTAAACTCAAGTTCTATAACAAGACCAAAGTCTCAAAGTGGATGAATAACCAGAACTCTCCACCAGAGTTTAGAGCCGGTGAGCAGGAAGAATAAGAAGACACCTCTCCTAAAAAGAGGCTAATGAGTAAGGCTTCAGCGGGTATCTATATAATTTACTCCATTTAAAGACATTCCATCCAAGAGAATGCCCCTCTGATGGATCTCCACCAAGAAGTGGTAGAAGCATTTGTGTGTTCTAATACCTCCAAGACTTTGCTGATTGTAGTTTAGCTACTCACAGGATTTTTCATATTGGACAGGTCAATGGAGAGGAACCAAAGAGGGGAAAAACATTGCTGCCTTGCAGCAAAATAGACTGATATAGACGCTACGCCTATGAACTGAAAGGACAGCAAAAGCAGAAGACAGACTGATACAGATACTACACACAAGAGCTAACAGGACAGCAAAAGCAGAAGACAGACTGATATAGATACTACACCTATGAACTGATAGGAAAACAAAAGCAGAAGACAGACTGATATAGACACTAAACCTATAAACTGATAGGAAAGCAAAAGCAGAAGACAGACTGATATAGACACTACATCTAAGAGCTAACAGGACAGCAAAAGCAGAAGACAGACTGGTGTAGACATTACAGCTTAGAGCTGATAGGAGAGCAAAAGCAGAAGATAGACTGACATAGACACGAAACCTAAGAACTGACAGGAGAGTAAAAGAAGAAGATAGACACTTGAAAGCAATAGTGAAAAATGATGATGATACTGATTAAAACATCTGCTTACCTCCAGGATTTTCTGTTCCAACTGTTCAACCGCACTGGTCTGATAAATGTAATTTTTTAAACAATAAAAAAATTAAAAACAATACTGTTACAATTATGTTATAATTTTTAACAAAATCATCCCCGTGTTGGGTTCCGGGGCCCCATTGTGGTGAAAACAAGAATAGACCCACTGCCTCCCCAGGAAGCATGTCATAAGAATCAACTAATTGGGAGCTTCCTTTGAAGTTAGAGTGCATTTGCCTAATAGGCAAAGAACCAATAATCTGCATACAAGTAGGTCAGATCTGTTAAACGGATGTGCATGCAACATACAGGTTCTGGGTGTGGACAAACAACCAGAACATTCTGCTGAAGTTTACAGCCAGTGAACGCGAAGAAGAAGAAGAAGATGAAGAAGAGCAAAATCACACCTACTGAATTCTGAATTAACAACTGACTGGTACTCATTTCTACTGGTAAAACTAAAGGTAAAGGAAACTTGTTCATGTCATCGGCCATATGGTGCCAGACCCAAATTACTTTCTAGACCAAATGGCACTTGACGGGTGATGTGGCCAACATCACACTGGCTGCCTTAACTTCCCAGTATATCTTTTAGTACAGATTTTAAGCTGCATCAACCTGGTCACCAAGATCAGTTATAAATAAAAGTGATAAGGATTTGAACCCTTGATTTCCCTGTGTGGGTTTTGGGGTCCCACTGTAGGGAAATAAGAACAGACCCACTGTCCCCATAACAAGAATGGCCTCAAGTCGACTAATTTGAGATATTTCCTTTGAAGTCGGAGTGCATCTGCCTGAAAGGCAAGGAATCAACAGCCTTTATACAAATAAGCCAGATCTGTAAAATGGGTGTGTACGCAAAAACTCAGGCTCTGGAACAAGATCAAAGTCTATAAGTGGACAAACAACCAAAACCTTCTGCCAGAGATTACAGGCGGTGAACAGGAAGAAGAAGCAGCACCTTCGATGAACTGCGTCGTCACAGGTGGTGTCAACATCCACATGTTTGCTCTTGCTGCCCCTAACTCTTGCATGATTAGGACGTGCCCCTAACTCTTGCATGATTAGGACGGTCACATAAGTCCAGACAGCTGGTATATGTATCTTCAACACTTACTGTCAGCTCTAAGCCCGAATGAGAGGAGGGCTGGGCATGGGGTAAGCCTATCCACACTGTAAAACAACCACCCTGCTACTGTAAAACAACCACCTTGCTACTGTAAAAAAAAAAAAACCACCTTGCTACTGTAAAACAACCACCCTGCTACTGAAAAACAATTACCTTGCTACTGAAACTCATAACAATTATAAACAACAAGAAAGCAATAATGAAAACAAAAACAAATCTGCAAAGACTAGAGTAAAATGGAGGAACTGATTGTGAGCCCTATGTGATATACAACGACACAACAGTAGTGTGGAAAAAGATTTAATGAATTTCAAAGCCTATCATTAAGAGTACAGCCAGATCAAGAGATACTATTTTTTTTTCCTGAGGGTAAAAGGGAATAACTAATTACGGTTATTTCAGGAATATGTTCCTTGTGTGGGTTTCTGGCCCCATTGTGGGGAAAACAAGAATCGACCCACTGCCTACCCAAAAGCATGCCGTAAGAGTTGACTAACTGGGAGCTTACTTTTAAATCAGAGTGCACCTGCCTGAGAGGTAAGGAATCAACAGTCTGCATACAAATGAGCCAGATCTGTAAAACAGATGTATACGGAACACTCAGGTCCTGGAACAGAACTAGAGTCCATTAATGGATGAACAGCCAGGTCTTTCTGCCAGAGTTTACAGCTGGTGAATGTGTAAAAGAAGTGGATTTATCAAATATTACCTGAGCTTCCAAGTCAAGCCAATCTAAATATGGGCACCAGGAAATCTTCTGGAAAATAAAGGCAGCCGGTGTGATAAGACCACATCCTCCACCAAGTGTTGATGAGTCTAAAAAAAATATAGGGGCTTCAACCATATGTCCAAGACCTAAAGCAGACGGCAATGAACCGCCAGACAGACACAAAGAGCTATGACCTCTGCCCTATGCACCACGCTAGGTTCAAGAAAAAAGACTAGGTTGACAACCATTTGTACTTTTTTGTGCCTCTCAGCCACACCCAACCATAAACAAATAATCTATGCTTAGAAGTACTATAAGTCACAATCAGAAAGAGGCAATACCCATTTGGGCTCTGGGGGTCCTTTTTTATGGGGGAAAAGAAAAGAACCACTGCCACCCTATGAAGCATGTCTTAAAAGGTGACTAATTAGGGATATTTTCTCAGAAGTCAAAGCACAGATGCCTGAAAGGTGACGAACCAACAGACTGCACACAAAAAAGCAAATCTGTAAAACATATGCGCATAAACAACTCAGGTTTAAGACTTAAGTAGAGAAGTGGTATGAACAACCAGACCTTTCTGCCGGAGTTAACAGTCGGTGCATATTAAGAAGAGAAAAGAGGCAGCTTGCATTTTTTTCTTTAAAAAAAAGTTATAATTATGCAATCATTAAAGAGTGCCTTCAAAAGAATTCTGACCAACAGTCACTTACCTCTGAGTTCTGCACTGTTGCAGACATCCTCTTTTTCTTATACTGGCCCATTTTCTGCATGGCCTTTTGATGATCGTGTAAAACGCCTTTCTCATGTCGGTCACACAAGTCCTGGACACATAAATTTACCCAAACATGTAAGCAGATTGTAGACCTACAAAAAAATACTGAAACTTTAGAAAGGTCACTTACAACCCTCTCTCCCCAGGAAAGCCGTTTGTTCTACTTTTATGAGTTCTGGTTGACAGGATGTCTTTGGAAAGTGCACAGGACATCTGTATGATGTACTGTGGCACTGGCTGCAGCTGCATAGTGGGTAGATACTTCATTATGACATTAAAAAACTTCATGATTGTGTCACACAACTTTCTGTCGGAAAGTGACCAAAGCCATTTCTAAATGGTAAAGGGAAGGAAATCAGTAAATTGCTCCCTTTGCATTTAGTGATCATTTCCCTTAAGTAGAAATAAACCTTTTCCCGATTTATACATTTAGTGAATAGGAAAAGCAGTTTGATGATATAAATACAGCCACAAAATATAAAGCAGAACTTAAGCAAGGTCAATTTGGAGACATAAATACAGCCACAAAATATAAAGCAGAACTTAAGCAAGGTCAATTTGGAGACATAAATACAGCCACAAAATATAAAGCAGAACTTAAGCAAGGTCAATTTGGAGACATAAATACAGCCACAAAATATAAAGCAGAACTTAAGCAAGGTCAATTTGGAGACATAAATACAGCCACAAAATAAAAACCAGAATTCAGAAAGGTCAACCAGACTGTGTCTGTGTATACTGCATCTTTTAAAAAAACAAATTTGACATAATAGAAAAGCATTAAAAAAAAAAAAAAATATAAACTTCAAGTTCAAATTTGCTGCCATAGATACTCTTTCCACCTGTACCATTTCCATTTGTAAAGTCTCCACCCTGGCACATAAATCCTGGAATGATCCTATGGAAACTTGAATTTTTGAATCCAAAGCCCTTTTCACCAGTGCAAAGTGCTTTAAAGTTGGCTGCTGTTTTGGGAACTTCATTGTCAAAGAGCTTAAAAATCAATTCTACCAGCTGGAGAGCCACCAATTGCTATGTCGAAAAAGACTTGAGTCATCTTGATGGTTTGGCTAGAAGAAGCAGAAGAGCGATCCATCAAGATGACTCAAGTCTTTTTCAACATAGCAATTGGTGGCTCTCCAGCTGGTAGAATTGTTTTTAAGCTCTTTGACAATGAAGTTCCCAAAACAGCAGCCAACTTTAAAGCACTTTGCACTGGTGAAAAGGGCTTTGGATTCAAAAATTCAAGTTTCCATAGGATCATCCAGGATTTATGTGCCAGGGTGGAGACTTTACAAATGGAAATGGTACAGGCGGAAAGAGTATCTATGGCAGCAAATTTGAAGATGAAAATTTTATCAGGAAACACACCAAACCAGGTCTTCTGTCCATGGCAAATGCTGGACCAAACACCAACGGATCACAGTTTTTTATCACAACAGCTATCACTTCATGGTTAGATGGTAAACATGTTGTGTTTGGAGAAGTTGTCAGCGGGTACAGTGTGGTTGAGACGATGGAGGGTGTGGGATCCCAGAGTGGGAAACCATCCAAGCCTGTGACTATTACCAGCTGTGGTGTACTGTAAGATGGGTCTGCCAAGTGCATTGAGCTTCCAACCATTGATTTTTTTAGTAGTTAAGCACAGTAGAGTGCAGATTACTCAACTTAATTCTGTGAATTTGTGTTTGTTGATTGTCACTATCGTTATATCATTTTTCACACTTTACACATTTGTGTTTATTTTTTTTAAATTTTTGACCTGTACCTTTTTTTTCAGAAATAAAAATTCCTAATTAGATCATGTAAAAAAAAAAAAAAGTTTCACACAGCTAATTTAAGCGTACCATCGACAGGCACAGAAAAAAAAAATCCAGTACAAACAACACACTTTAATTAAAACTTACATTTTTAATCATTAATTATTAACCATTTGACCATCCAATTCCAGATTTGAATGCAAACAACATGATAACAAAACATGAAGTCTTACTTTGTAAGCTGTGATAAGATCCTGGAAAAATGACAACTTTTCCACAACGCCTTCTTCCTCATCAACAGCCTGAGATAAAAAGCAATAGAAAAATATTATTTCAGAGAGCTGACCGTGTGGGATTAGGAGAGATAGAAGAAGACAACAAGAGAAGATTCTTGACAGTCTTGTTGCATGGCATGGATGTGTGTCAGCAAATGAACTAATACATGCTGCAGGAGATCACAGAATGTGGAGAGGCATGATCGCCCATGCCAGTCTGCAAGGCACCTAATGATGATGATGGCTATGACCGGTTAGGTTCCAAGGGCACCATTTTGGGGGAAGAAACAATAGACCCACTACACCAAAAACATGCAGCAAAAGTCAACTAATTAAGGCGTTTCCTTCAGAGTGCATCTGCCTGAGATATGAGGAACCATCAGTCTTCTTACAGCTAAAGCTGTAAGGTGGATGTACACGCAAAACCCAAGTTCTGAAAAAAAAAAGACTAAATTCTGGAAGTGGATGATCAACCAGAAAAATCCGTAAAAGTTTAAACCAATGAATACAAAGAAGAAGTTTTGAAAAAAGACTAAAGTCTGGAAGTGGATGATCAACCAGAAAAATCCGTAAAAGTTTAAACCAATGAATACAAAGAAGAAGTTCTGAAAAAAGACTAAAGTCTGGAAGTGGAGGATAATCAACCAGAAAAATCCGTAAAAGTTTAAACCAATGAACACAAAGAAGAAGAATTAAACAGAGCACATACAATTTGCTGTAATTAAACTCTGTTAAAACTAGAAAACATATATACACGTTTCTAGTTGTTCTTTTTCTTCAGTATTTTCCTTGGAAAGGGCGGTAGGCAGGTTTTGTCAATTTACAGCTATCCTGCGATATCTGTGCCTTTCAACCTAACAAAATTATTTCAACAAAACAGCAAAACCTTAATTTCGATTTTTTAGAAGGCAGTCCCCCTCCCCTTCTCCCCAACTTCAAGGGGCTCTAAAACCCACACAGGGATATCTAATTCTGAACAACTCATCAGATGCCTAACAGGCTTCGAGTCCCAGGCAGTTTAGCATCAAAGGCCTAAGGGGTAGTCAAGAGAGACATAAAATCGGCGCATCTTGCTTTGATTGGGCTTCTTCTATGTAGGAACCTATAAACGTGTGATACCACCCGTGGGACTCAAAGAGTTAAGCCTTTCAATTTCCAAATTTCTTTTTTAAGATACAAAATATGCGTTCTCAATAAATTATTAGATTTTCAGCGTGGGTTCTGGGACCTCATGTTTGGGGGGAAAAAAACAGATCTACTGCGACCCCTCCCAAACAACAAGCATATGGTAAAAGGCGACTAATTAGGGGTTTGTTGAAATCGGATGTGTTAGGCCACAATGTGCCTAGCTGTAAACCACTAAACAATGTACTCAACACCCCTTTGAAGAGTTTGTTTTGTTGCCTTGACACCTGATTGCTATCAGTCGCAAAAGCAAAGCTGTCTATAGTCTCTTGATGTTGCTGTTGACATATTGGTATTTATGAGTGATTTCCACTGCTGCCAGTTTGCCTTTGGTATCTTGTGTCATTTTACATTTTTTGAAAAAATTTTCCCTTTAACTGTTCTTCTCGAAGTTCTTAGGTTGTCCACATTTCAAATTTTTACCATCAGCCATCCATCTGATAGCTTTCCTTGCCAAAGTGCCATTGGCATTCTGCAAACATCTCTAAGAGATCTTGAATTTTATTGTGTTTATACCTCTTATGGGTTTTAGGGCCTCATTTCAAAGGCAAGGAGGTGGGGGGAACAGACCCATCATTCCTTAATATGTTGTAAAAGGTGGTTAATTAGGCATGTGCTGAAATCGGATGTGCTGGGCCAAAAGGTGCAGTTATCATAGCCTAGCTGAAAACAACAACACCCTCCCCCTCCTCTACCCCCACTGGGTTTTTGGGGACCCATTGCAGAGAAAACAACAACAGACCCACTGCCTCCCAAAGAAGCATGTCATAAAAGTCAACTAATTGGGGGCTTCCTTAAAAGTCAGAGTAAATTTGCCTAACAGGCAAGGAACCAGCAGTCTGCATACAAGTAAATCAGATTCTAGAGGTGGATGGACATTCAGAACTTCTTGCAGGAGTTTATAGCCACGTGAATGCGAAGGAAGAAAAAAGAACACAAGATACACTGCTTTTTGAAAGATGCTGAGAAAAGTCACTGACCACCACAACTTTACACTGTGGCCTAGATTGTGTTTTAGACCTAAAAATTCATATACAAAAATCTAAGTGGCTGATATGAGACTAACCTTTACAGTAATGCTAAATACTAATACAGATGATACAAAGCAATTTACCGCTTGCATGGACTTATCTGCAAGAGATGCAAACTCCACAGACAAGTGCTTGAAACCCTTCTGAAGGCGCCCCCATGTTTTACTGGTGCCTGTTGTCCAACTGCTGAGTGGTGTGATGTCGTTGCCAAGAATGCTGTTGATACAAAAAAAATACTGGTTTCTTGAGGAGTATGTCCTCACTACTACAGATATGCAACAGGCATCAGGTAAATGTAGTTTTAACTTCATAGCAAACAGGTCAACCCATAGTTGCTCAGTTCCTGTGCCAATGAAAACCATACAGAACCTTCAACACTGTCGCTTGCGAAAAACCGGACACAGACTGCAATCTCAACAAAAAGCCAATAGTATACACATGCATCAAATGCAAAAGGCAGCCATCAGACATAATGGGAGCTGTGGTAGCACAGTGACTGATATAGGTTAGAAAATTTGAACAAAAACAAAATTAATTTCTTTTTACTCTGGCAGTGCATCAGATTCATATTTGTAAGAACCAATCAAACTCAGTACGGTTGTGCGGTCAACATCATGCCAGCCACCTTTACTTCCTAGAACATCACCTCGTGCCCATTTTAGAGTCAAGGCAACCAATGTCAGTGTTTGGAAAAAAACCAGCCTCTATGTGGATCTGGACTCAACAATCTGACCTGATTTCATTCAGCAATGTTTCCTTATATCTAAACTTCTATTTTACTTCTTGCTTCGTTTTTTTAATTATGTCATGATATTCTCCTTACTCACGAATATACTGACCTCTCACTGATACGCATGTGTCCAGTCAATCTGATCAATGACAAGTTAATAAATGTATGATCTGTCTCTTCTCTTCTGCCCTTCAACCCCTCCCCCCAGCTTAGATCTTCAACCAACTGGCACCAAGAGTCATTCTATCCTAAGGTGCAGCTCCCTATATATCCTACAAATCTTTTTCACTTTAATTTCTATTTCACGTTTTTTTTTTTTCCTGCTTTTATTCTGTTGACCCTCTCTGTTCCAGTGCAAAGGCATTTATTATTATGAAGTTTTCTCAGCGTATGTCCTATCCAACACCAGAATCTTTTCCTCACCTCTTTATTCACAGGAATTTGTTTAGTTCTCTTGCAAATACCTAAGTGTCAATAGCAATCTGGAGATAATATATTCAGCTTTGCTTTTGGGATTGGTAGCACACAGGTGTACAACAACAAAAACTCTTCAAAGGGGTGGGATCATTAGTGATTCTGTCCTTTTAATTAAGTCCCTATATTCTGGACAGGCATCAGTTAATCAGCATGGCATCAGTTTATGAGCATTTAAAGTTTATAAGTATTTTGTAAGGCATTGTCCAAGTTTACCTGTCCACAGCAAGACTAAATTGACAATTTTATAACCTATCAACATATTAACTTCACAGTAAAGTGTTAAAAATATTGCTGTCAGGATAAAATATTTCAATTTTTGAGGAATTCCAAGACAGATTCTACAAACTTCAAACAGAATATTTTTTAACTGACCCAAACTGGCGGCCCATCTGTAGCATGTCTGTAGCAAAAGTGGCTGACCGACACACCATCCTTTCTGCAACATCTTTTAGCTTGCTGACACATTCAAACACCACTTTGATATGCTCCTTACTATTTGCTAGCTGCATCTGTGTATCCATCGGTACCAAATCCTGTAAGGCAATGGGAGCGAGAGCAACATTAATTTAAAAAAAAATAATATGCGATTAGGCAGTTAAGTGATTGTTTTAAATAGATGTTGAAAGACAAACAGACAGGTAAAATATTTCAGGCACAAGAAAAGATATAATACTGTTATAAAGACTACACTGAAGGTAAATCATGAAGGCAGGTAAGCAGGAGACAGACAGACACATATACATTCATAAATACTAGGGTTGTACCGAATATTCACTTCGTATTCGCTTCGGGGCCGAATAGTGGACCTAATAACTATTCGGTATTCGGCCGAATAGTTGCGGTCGGGCCGAATACGAATAGAGGATACCTTACACCTGTTTCGTGACTGGTGGAAAATGAACATATCAAAATTTTCCACCTTAGTTCATACTGTCAAGCGTTATCTTTGTGCACCACCTACAAGCGTACCAAGTGAACGTCTGCTTAGTACAGCTGGAAATACCTTCAATGAGACAAGAAGCTGCCTAAATGCTGATAACATAGAAAATTTGTTTTTTTAAAGCTTAAGCCGCTTTCATGGATTAACTAAGCTGTCAGTGACAATTTACAAGTTTACTTGTTATAAAACTAAGAATACTTTCATTCTTAGGTATTAGTTACCACAGACTGACTGACTGAAGGGTGCAAAACATAACATGTTTTTAAATGTTTACTATTCTGTGCTACATTTTGTGAAGTAAAATATCAGCGTACATTTGACATTACAGTTTTTTTTAAAATATCTATTTTATACACTATTCGAAAGTGGAAGAATGGGCCTCAGTTTGAACAGCGGGAAGACAGAAGTAATGGTGGTATCAAAGAAAATAATTTTTCCTAAATGTGTAATAAATGTCAATGGTTTTATTTGGGGACAAGTACAGAAATTTATGTATCTGGACACATGGATAACATCAGATGGAAGATGCATTACTGAAATAAGAAACAGAATAGGACAGGTAAAACCTGAATTTTATAAAATGAAGAACATCTTATGCAATATATCTTTGTCATTTAAGGTAAGAAAATAAATTCTTGCTTGCTATATACATCCAGCTTTAACATATGGCTGTGAGTCCTAGACAATCGGTAGGCAGGCCAAATAATTTCTTGAGGCCTCAGAGATGTGGTTTTACAGAACAATGTTTAAAATACCTTGGACCACGAGGTTTTGAAAGAGGCAGGAGCCCGAAGACAACCACTCACAGACAGCAAAAGGAGACAGTCGTCATTTTTCGGCCATGTTATAAGATGAGGGAAAATGGAACATGTGGTGAACACAAGAAAGATATGTGGAAGGAGGGATAGGGGAAGACAACGAGATTCTTGACAGTCTTATTGCAAATCATGGAGGTGTGTCAGCACACAAACTAATACATGCTGCAGGAGATCACAGATTGTGGTGAGGCATAATCGCCCATGCCAGTCGGTAAAGCACCTGATGATGATGATTCACTATTCGTATTCGGCCAAATAGTTGGTCCAGCTATTCGTATTCGGCCGAATAGTGAAAATCACTATTCGGTACAGCCCTAATAAATACACATACACACAAACATACATAGATACTCGCACACACACACAATGATACAAGTGAGAGAATGAGATAAAGGTGAACAGTAATCTGAGAAATTATACAGTCATGCAGAGAGACAGAAATGTTGCCGACTGCAGCTGACATTCACTGTGAAGACAGCATTTGACTGACTCACGGGAATTCTTAACCTTGCTTGCATTTTGCAGAGAAAGACTGCCTTTAAATATCCAAAGAAGCCATGATAAATCTGTGTCAGGCCAAGCCAACCACAGATAAATGTTTAAAATATTATTTATCCTCATCTTTTCTTAGCGTTCAGTGGCTGTCATTTGGGGAGGATAGCTCTTGTTGTTTGTTTATTTCCAGATTTTGTTTATGTTGCAGAACTTGAGTTTTGTATGCACATTAAATTGACAGATGTTGATTATTTGTATGCAGGAACTCTTGACTTTGAAGGAAACCTAATTAATCACCTTTCACAACTTGCCTTTTAGGTGGTAATATGTCTTAATTTTTCACCCCATAATGGGGTCCCTGAACCTACAACAAATATGCAAAAGGCTATCAATTTATGCTCTTGAAGTAATTAGTACCAGGTGATAGCTGCAGCCTTTCATAGTAAACTGGAGAGAAATGTTTAAAAAAAAAAAAAAAAACCATACTAGCCCACATACAATACTTTCATCGTGTGAAAACAACTTGGTGCACCTTAAGACTTGTAAAAGATGTTCATGTATTTGGAAAAAATAAAAACATCAACCAGTCTCACCTTAGCTCTACTAGACATATCACTTGTCATGAACTCATCAGGAATGTTTCGGAACTGCTCACGAATTTTCTGTTGAACGTCCTAGAATGACAACAATTACAATATTTCAAATTTGCACACCATTAACACACAAAAACACACCACAAGCATAAACTGTTTTTTGCTACTGGTGTTTCCACCATTTTCTGGGGCGGTGTAGGGATTTGCGCCTGGGGATTTAGGGCCCTATTAACAGTACAGTAGCCACAAACAGTTTGGATTTTGATTTTGCCCCCCCCCCCTCCCCTATGTCTCTATAAGCACAAGAAATTAAAATATAAATGCTAAGAATAGGGAATAGTGGAGTGACATGATCAAATAAATGCAACATTAGTCTCTGGACTATCTAACTTAAATACTAACTAAAAGATGAGCAACAACTACAGTAGAACCTCGCTTAACGAGCATAATTCGTTCGAGAATCATACTCGTTAAGCGAAACACTCGCTATGCTAAAAAATTTTTCTCATATAAATTAATGTAAAATACAATAATGTGCTCCATGTCAAAAAAAATACTTACAAAATGCTATGTATAACATTTATTCAATTCATATTGTTAAGGAGAGTGAAACATCTTCATCTTTTCTTCAAACGCGGAACGAACCCACCTTGAATGCGAATTCGATTTGGAAAAAACAAAAGTCAAAATAATTATGATATATAGCTAATTATTTTTTTTACTAGAAAGATGTCCAGAGACATTTGTTTTTGCCGACGCTTCAAAATTTGGTGAAAATTCGACACCGCATTGTCATTAAATAAATTTGCAGCACGCATAGCCACTTCTTTATTAGGGTGATGCTTCTCAATGTAAGATGCAAAAGTTTTCCATACTTTCAGCATTTCTTTAATTTGCCAGAAGATTGTTTTTTGTTACCTCCTCCTCCGACCAACTTTGCTCCAAAACTTCTTGCTGTGAAACACAATGCAACTCCTTAAGCTCCTCGGTGGTCAGCTCTTGGCTGGGCTCTTCCACAAGGTCTTCAATATCACTATCCACCTACTATCCTATGATAGTGGCCAAAGACACAACCTCATTGACTCAACCCCTTAAAGTCACAAATCGACAACTCTGTCCAGTCAAAGCTGCTTCCAAGAAGAAGTTAGGGTTCTCTTGGTAACCCCTTCCAACGTCTTGTCAATCATCTTGAGGCAGGCAACGATGTGGAAGTGATTTTTCCAAAACATGTATCGCAATATAACACAAGTTTGAGAAAATGTGTGATCACAAGCGACACTTTGATGCTACCGGAACGAGTGCTAAACACAGACTGATGTAACATGCGCACAATCTGGGACTCCCCCCCCCCTGCCACTCATTATGCAAAAGGTCGCTCATTAAGCAAGTCATTCTTTTACAATTTTTTTTTTGCTCGTTATACGAATTACTCATTATGAGAGGTGCTCATTAAGCGAGGTTCTACTGTATATAAAAGTGTATGCATTTATATGTTTTACAGAAAAACCACAGCCAGATAAACGTTCTATGGTAACAACATACATTTCCGGTGAAAGTTAGGAAAAACTTCAGCAGCTTGTCATCAAACATCTGTGGGTGTCGAGCTATTATATTCAGATATCGCCGCAAACTTTTCTTTCTCTGTTCAATGAACTCTCTTGACGCTGAAAACAAAACAATCGGCACACGTATCAGGACTAAAGCGAGAAAGAGTAACTGTTAATTTACCTGTTCTTTAAATATATATACGTGTGTGTGGGCATGCACACACACATATACACACATGCATACATAGATTCACACACACACACACACACAAACATACATACACACATTCATACTAACACACATACACACAATATACCTACAAACATACACATACACATTCATACATACAAAGATACATATACACATACATACAAACATAGACAGACACACACATACATATATACATACACAAACACACACATATATACACACATACACAATACTCACATATATACACACATACAAACACAGACAGACATATCATGGAGAGATACATGGTGCAAGGCAGCAGTATTTGCCTACGACACATACAAGGGTTTCCACGAGGGAATGGAAATGGCTGCAGCTGCTATTGTCTTAGAAGATGTGTACAATTCAATAGCATCCCATACAACAAGCTAATCAGATTGCTGCTGGATATGCACACAGAAATCAAGTGGGTCAACTAGATCGCAGCAGCCGTATTCGAAACAACAGTGTCGCTGCAATGTGGTGCATGGGCACCAGAACCTCAACGGGTCCTAATGGGTTTGCCCCAGGTCTCCCCCAAATGTCACAGGTGCTCTTCAATGTTTTATGCAGCAGTTTTGTGCATAAAGCGTAGGTCTAGGCTTAGGCTGAAGATTTAATCCAGCAGGTATGTGACCTGGACGAGATCTGTCACGGAAAAAAATGGACGAATACACCAGTAGATATGCATGCCATCTCTAAGGTTGCCATCATACAGGGAACAGACTCCTGCAGCCATAGATGATACATCAGCATCTACAACTAGAAGACATCATCATCTACACAGATGGATCTGTGAAGGGTGGATCAAGTCAGCATGGGCATGCACAGCACAAAGGTTGGAGAAAACAATAAAAGAGGACAGTGACGCTTACCAAGCAACTACATCAAACAAGAACATGGAGATAGCTGCTCTAATAGAGCACTAGCATGGTCAGCAGAGCAAACAGCCACACACACAGTAATTGTATCAGACTCCATGAACATGCTGCAGAAGATAGCAACAGGTGGTGTGCGCTCAGAATGGGTAGAAAGCATTCGAAAAATCACACTTAACTTCCCTCACCTGTATCTACACACCTGGTCATGCTAGCATAAAGGATCAGGAGCAAGCAGACCAACTGGCAAGCAATGCACCAAAGTATGTGGGAGAAGCATGGACAGATCAGATATCATCAATGCTGCATGGACTGGGCTAGTAGATAATGAAGAATCTCTGACACAAACATGAGAGTAAAGCATGGTGAAGCCTCAAAGGCTGAGACAGGAGACATTATAATCAACCTCTCATGAAAAAATGTGTAGAAGTACCTTGGAGTGGCTGCTGCATCGGAGGACTGAGCATGCACGGGAATGCCCAATGTGCACTGGCGCTGATTGTGATAACATCACATAAATATGTTTGGTTTAGGGTTATGAAATCAATTATAAGTAACAATGGTAGATACTGCCATCTGTGTGAATTATCAAGGCTTTGCATATTCTGGGCTATACGCAGTCCAGCTTCCCAATTTATAAGGAACATATTGAAACAAGATCCTTTTGTTTTCACACACAACTGCAAGTGTTTTGTTGTTCTACATCCTAAAGTAGAAGAAAGAAGAAGACAAAAGAGGGGCAAAAATACATTGATATGTAAAAGCACTGCTAATAAAAAAAATGAAGAAAAAAAATACATTTATAACACATACCTCCAACTTTCTTTGGAGGCAGACGTGGAATTACTCTGTATGGAAACCTTGCCGAAAGAAGTTCATGGAGGGCAACAAAATCATTATATCGGCGTAGAACTGTAGCCTTGTTTCTCTGAGGGTTAAGAAAGGTGTTACATTCTTCAGGCGAGATCAGTTGTATATTCAAAGATATTGTATATTGTGATTCAGGGGTGACAAATCAATTTCACTATGTTATGAACAATATTCTATGCAATCTTTTTTGTCAATTGAAAAAAAGAAAGAGAAATAATAATTCCTATCCTGATATACTGAAATGAATCATGGACAGTTGGACGATTAGCAACAATGTATCTGGAAGCAGTGAAGATGTGGCTTTATAGAGAAATTATGAGAATACCCTGGAGAGATAAAAAGAGTAATGAAGATTAAATTACTCATAAAGAGAACTGATTGATTATTGTCATTAACCATGTTCCTATGTTAGATGTAATTTTTCGTTATTTTGAAGTCACACACCCAGTGTTGCCAGGAGCCCTAATATAACAAAAACTATGGGTTCAACAGGGTTTCTGGACCCTGTCTTCTGTGATTCTCATCTGAATGGTGGCACTTTGTTTCACAGGGTGTTTATTGCGCTGTGTGATGACCTGGTGGGGTAAAATGTCAAGTCATCAAGAGAATTAATTGCCTACATCAGAAGAAGACATTCTTTGGTCATGTCATAAGGAGAAAACTGCAATATTTCATGACTGGGAAAGCTGGACGAAAAAGAAAAGAGACAGAGAGAAGAAATCTGACATCATTGCATGGAAGATCATCTGTGATCCAAATGACATAAAGTACATGAGACAAGGTTTTGGACAGATATCTAACAAAGCCACATGGCACAGACTATAAGAAGAAGTTTGAGGTTCAAAAGCTAACTATAATTAAAGAAATTCTACTGACAAAATGGGAATTAATGAGTGATTTGGCCAATATCTCACTGGCTGCCTTTACTTCTCACAACAATTTATAAAATATGCTATCATGTAATGATTTTAGGTTGCCAGTTTGTTACCTTGAGCCTTCCCCATCTAGATAATCGCCACTTACAGGAAATTCTGTGTCATTCAATTTTTTTGAGAAGAATCTGGGAGCTGAACATGGTACAAAGTGACTAATAATTCAAAACAAAACTGGCCAGCACAGAACAGCTCTGAAACATTGCCAGCATTAGGTATGAAACACACTGAGAATATCTGATAACAATATAATTAGAACAATCTGGCACTGGAACCATAGGGTCAAAAGAATAAAGGCAGACTAAAAGAAAAAAAATACAGAAGAAAATTAGAGAATGAGGTGGGGTGAAAACACGGGGAAGACGTGAGGATGAGCACATTATTTTGGTAAAGGAAAAGCCAGTCTGGCATAAGCTGGGCAGAAAGGTCTTGCTCAGGATGAGATGCTAATGTCAAGCAAGGAGCTGTGAGGCTTAAAGGTTTTTTAAGTAACATTAGAAAACCCGGTGAACCAAAATGGAACCTGATTGATCAGCCATCGCAAATACACAGAAATTCTGAAGGGTAAATCTGAACATAAACGAATGTTTTCACTGCACTACAATAGTAAATCTTCATGTCAGTTTTAAAAAAAGTGTTGCTGTTGGCTTCCTACACTTTCTCTATAAGTGGAGACATTGGTAAAAATATGTAGCTTCTATACCCCTCTTTATGTCTACAGTACAAGAAACCACAGGTCAACAAACATCATGGCCAAGGGGTCAGAAGAATGTCAGCAGTACATTTAATGGAACACGCATTCAAAACTGTTAAGACCTGAGGTTTAAAAGAAATCCTAGTCTGTACATATCATGACAGCTTTGGTATGCAACCTTAATTCAACAGCCTGTAATAATCTTTCCTGGCATACAGTGGTATGCATTTGGTAAAGACAGAAACAAAACAAAACAACACCTGCTAACATATATAGATATAACGGCACAATAATTAACTGCCTTATATCTGCATCTGTGTGGGTTAAAAAAAAATGTAGTGAGCTGGGGGGTATGCTTCATTGAATGTAACCTCCCTGTGAGGGTTCCGCGGCCCCACTGTGGGGAAAATAAGAGTAGACCCACTGCCTACCCAAAAGCATGTCGTAAGAGTCAACTAATTGGGAGCTTCTTTCGAAGTCTGAGTGCATCTGCCTGAGAGGCAAGTAACCAACAGTCTGCATATAAATGAGTCTGAAACAGATATGCGTGCAACACTCAGTTTCTGGAACAGGACTAGAGTCCAGAAGTAGACAAACAACTGGAACCTTCTGCCGGAGTTTACAGCCCGTGAACATGAATAAAAATGTAGAAGTATGTTAACATTTCATCATCGTCTTCGTCAATTTCCATACAGCGTTGGGGTGGGGAAGGGAAGGAACAGTTTGAGACCCATTTCTTGATGGGCAGCAATGGCTACTGTTGATGTAGAAGCTCTTTAATGTCATCAATCCATCTTCTCCTAGGCTGGCCTCTTGCTTTCACTTCAGATCTTTTCATGTGTAGTGCCTGCGTTGGTTCTGGCTGCATTCTTATTAAATGACCAAACCATCTGATCTTCTGTTTCTCAATAAATTAGCTGCAGGGTATTGTTCCTACAGTATGTCTTAGTAATGGTGTCAGTTGGTATATAAGTGCACTGGTTCGTTGGCATCTTGTTTCTATTTCCTGATCTATTCTTCCCTTCTCCGAGAATATACTTAAAAGATATTTAAATTCCGTTACTTGGTTCAGACATGGCCGGCTCTAGCTGACAGGCCGTGCTGCTGACGTCACTATGTCGGGCTAACGATGCGTTAAAGCAGCGGTTCTCAAACTGGGTGCCGAAGCACCCTGGGGTGCCGTGATCGTATATCAGGGGAGTCGCGGCAATAATCAAGAAAAGTCGGCTAAAAATTGTGAAATTATTGAAGAAGGCATGTAAATACTTAAAAGTTAAAATTTAAGTAGTCTTTCCTCGCCACTGTCGACAATAGTTTATTTATTGTTTGAGAACCACTGTGTTAAAAGCATCGTTAGCCCGACCCGATGACACCAGCAGCACGGCCCGTCAGCTAGAGCCGGTCATGGTTGAGACAAGTACCATTCAGTCTGATAGAAAGTGGACTAGGAATTTTATGTCAACAACAATCATTATAAAACCTGCCATAACTGCCAACATTATCATTGTTCGGGCGGTGTAGGGGGTGGGAAGGTCTTTGAGCCTGATGAGGACCGTGTGGCTAATGCTGTCACCATGGACAGCGCAGGTCAGGGTTTTATTTTTGCCCCAAATGCACAACCTTACTGAGGATTTGAACCTGGATCTGCAACATGAAAGCCCAGCATTCGTAAATGTTTGACCAGAACTTCTTCATGCAAACAACAGTCTTAAATTTTGTTATCTATTCCACCATGTTACCATAATGAAAAGATAAAAAGGAAATAAACAAACACAAATAAATAAATAAACACAATGCTTGATAACTGATATGACTAGATAGTTAAGTGCTCCATATCTATATTTCAAAACAGTGGTTTTCAAACTTAAGTCCCCCCCCCACCCCCCTTTCAGTTGGGCACAAAGAATTTTTAGGAAGCTGTCAAGAAATTTTGAAATTGAGTCCTTTGTACTTGTATTAATCTATTATACTAAAAATTATCTATAAAACAAAAAGTTAAGAGTATTTTTTTTTTTTTTGACACTTCTATTTATGTGGATGTATTGCTCCAACATCTCCAACCCCCAGGTTTAAAAATAGGCACAAGTAGGGAATGTCTGAATGTATTTAGTTAGTGGGTAAACAACACCGTTGTGTGTTTATCTATTCCTCTATCTTGTTCATCAGAGACAGATAATGACTGCAGCTGGTTCTCTATTAACAAGTCTATGCAAATCTGGTGAGCTGTGGCATTTTGTTTTCCCATGCATGGGGTTGTCAGTTAATACAACCTAGACAACTAACAAAACATATTTCTTCTTCTTCTTCAGTATTCCGAGCCCTTGAGGTTCATTGCTGCAGATATCACCCACCCCCATTCATCTCTCTGGTTGGCCTTCTCTTTCCAGTTGGTAACACCAAGTGTTTGCAGGTCTGCATGGACATTATCTCTCAATCGTCTTCTTGGTCTGCGACTATTTATCTCCCTTGTGTATAGAGTTTTTACTTCTCTGCCATCTGACATTCCTTCAATATGCCCCAACCATTTCAGCTATTAGCTTTCTTGATGCCAGTGATCAAAGGTGATTTAAACAGATTATGAATTTCGTTCTTGCTTCTCACTCTTCATTCCCCGCTGTTTGCATGTTTGATGGGTCCAAAGATTTGTCGTAAGACTATTTTTTTGAAAACCTGTAATAAGGCTTCATCTCTTTTAGTTGTGCTCCAAGTTTCAGAGCTAAAAAAACATATGGCTACATAAAACCTTTATTAACAACTGAGTTAGCCTACCTGACTTGTGATTTCATATTCAACATGCTTCAGAATGATTCCTTTCTTCTCCGGCACTAATTCTACTTTTACTGTGTCAATTTCACATAGTTCCTTGTAGTCAAGACACAGGACATTTGGTGTACGCTGCCTTCTCAGACGCACACTGGACGCTTTCAAATCTGACAAGTCACCAAGAGACGGCTTTGGTAGTTCTAAGAACAGACAATTTATATTAATATAATTAAGCAAAATTAATGAGTTAAAAAAAAGGAAGGATAATTTTAGCAAAAGAGTGCAACTTGATTTTCACACCCCCATCCCAAAAAAAAAAAAAAAACCTACATGCTTTCAAGTGTGAACAGAACCGTAATTAAACCACTTAATGTTAACTAAAAAGTGCTTAGTCTCACTAGGAAACAGAAAGGTGTGCAGGTTAACTATCACTGCAACCACAATACATCTATCCACCTAAAATAACACTGTATTCAAAATTCTATCAATGTACAACTAGTTAATGTTTTCAAATATAAGTCATTGTTCAAAGCTAAGTCTGTATTTTTTCTCTTAGTTTTTCATTCCTTTTGTCTTCTTCATTTATTCTGCCTATTATTCCACATCATGTGGAGCAAAAGTAAACAGGCCAAATTCTGAAACAAATCAATATAATAAAAGTATAGGTACCCTTCCTGATAAAGCCAGACTTTTAAAAAAAATGACCTTGGCACCCAGGTCGACTCAGTCTTGAGAGGGTACCAGGTGTAATCTTGGGAAGTAAAGGAGGCAGGTGTGGTTCTGACCACTTTCACCCACCAAGTGCCCATTGGTTTATAATAGATGTCTAGTTCTATATGCCCATATATGCGTGAAGAAGGGTCCTTTACTTATTTAGGTACCCTTGTAACACATGGAAGATGTATTACAAGTTAAATGTAAAATAGCTCAAGCAAAAGAAACATTTGACAGGATAAAGAATATTCTTTGTAATCTATCTTTGTCAACTGATGTATAAAAGAGTTTATAACCAAAACAGACACAAGACGATTACCATTTTATGGACAGACAGGCGCAAGTCATTATTCTTCGCCTTAGAACAGGACATATTATCGACTTTGAATCCAAATGTACACATAATTTAAGATTGGCAAATCAGCCATGCATACATGTGGATTAGCACCTGAGACAACAGATCACGTCTTCCAAGACTGTCCCAAAATACAACGCATCAAGTCATGAGACACATCGGTGCAAGCCAAACTTTACGGGTCGCTGACTAAACTACATCAGACAGTGAGGTTCATACTAGATACAACATTGCAGATAAAGACAATCTATTTCAAGCGATCGAAAGAAGAAGAAATATTTTACAACCCTATTACCCCAGGAAAAAATTAATGTGTCGTGACCCAGTTGGAATTTAAAAAAAAATCCTTTAAACATTTTCCATCAGTTCATTAATAAATGAGTTAACTGTATTTTCCTAAATTTTCTTCTCTTCTAAATATATAAAGCTTTAAAAGGTTATTTAGCTCAAAGGAAAAACTACCTTAAATTATATTTTTTTAAAGTTTTTTTCATCAAATCTTGACTTTCTAAATGTTTGCAGATGCTCAAACTCAACTAACAGCATTAACTATGTGTCCAGTAAACAGGTCACTACAGACAAGCCAGAAAAGTGATATTTGAGAGATCTGGGCCCAACCGGAAGTGTTGGTTTTGAAACTTCTTAGACTTAAAGGGTTAAGAACTCAATACAGCCTAATGTGTGGAAGTGAATCATGGAAAGCCAGCACATTCGTGAAAAGTTATGTGGAAGCTGCAGAGACACAGCTTTACTAATAAATATTGAGCAAATCAGAGCAAAGAACAAGGGAAGTATTCAGCTTTACAAAAATATAAAAACAAGTAATATAATGAAAGTTGTGGCTAGAAGGCCTTCATCAGGAAGCAAAAATAAAAAGACAGATGCAACTATATTTAAAAATAACACTAAAGTTAAATAGTTTTAAGCACAGGTTGTAGAAATATCTGAAAGTGTCAGTTTCCTTGTGCTATATGAATCTGACATTAATAATCAATTAATCATGAGTGGCCACCACAATGAAGGCTGCTTTCAATGTATCTCTGACATGCTCCATCTCTCATCCTAAGTATACACCCTCATAGACTTGTTTGTCAAACTTCTGATGAAATTTTCCCATTTACATCATTGTCTTCCTTCATCATTTTCCCTTTCCAGTATGGTTTTAATATTCTGTTATGTTTTCCGATCAGCATCTGTGGCTTAGGCGTTGCGAAAGCTCTTCATAATGCCGGAGTGCCGGGTTTGAACCCAGTTGCATACGATTTGTCTTGCGCTGGTTTCGACAGTGGTACCGAGAGCTGACCGTTTAGGAAGTAATGGCAAACTACTGAACGTAAAATTTGCCTAGAAAAACCACACAGCCCAAAATGCTGGAATTGGTTATGCAACGTCCTGCAAAGGATTTGCAACTAACTTTTTTTAAAAATGTTTTTCGGTGTGACTAAAATATTTAACTCAACTGTTTTTTTTTTTAAATTCTTTTAACAATATTGTTTTAATTTTCAGTCTCTTCACAGCTTCTGCAATAGCCTGTTTTGGTTTCCACACAATCTGATATTTTTCTTCAGTAAATCTATATTTACAGAACCTCATTTTGACTTTCTATTTATTAACTTTTCAAGTTTCTTTGCCATACAGTAGTGTCGAGGACAATTATAAATTAGTCATTGTCTTTAATAAGCTGTTTATCTCTCTAGATGTCAATCAATGTTGTTTTCACGTTCTTGAACCAGTCAACATAACCTGGGTTAAATGTTTACATGTATCTGTTCAGGGTTTGAACTCCGAACCTGGCCAGATATGTTATCAGGAAAGGTAACTAGATTTAGTGAGACACATTTAATCTGCATTACTCAGATAACATATCTGCAGAAGCCTAGACCACGTTATCCCTAAATACAGTCCTGCTGTTTGAAGAAAAAAAAATATGGAACACTGCAGCTAAATGCAAGGAAGCCACAGTTCAAATATATTAGACCAAATTTTGTGTTCAAACTATGAGATTATCGCTCTCAGTTATTCTCAGCATGGCCCATGTTGCACTTCTAGGGGGCGACAGAAAGTGGCAGGACATTCAGGGTGAGCGACTGATTAGCACAAATCAATAAAATTATTATATAATCAACTGTCATGAGGAGGGGGTGGGGAAGAAAAAAAAAAGAGAGATAGACACAACAGAGAAAGCAAAGGAGACAGTGAGAGAAGAGACAGAGTGAGAGAGGGAAGAGGGGAAAGAATGGAAGGAAATGGAGAGAAATACAAGCAAGACAGACATAGAGCAGGAGGGAGAAAAAGTTGGAAGGATGTAGAGAAGGGGGGGAGCGAGGGAGGTGCACTAAGAGGGTGAGAGAGAAAACACAAGGACAGAGAGAGGTAAGGAGTGAGACAGAAGGAGAGAGGTTGAAGGAGGGAGAGAGGAGGAAACTGAAGAGAGACTATGCACGAGCCCGGTATGGAAATGTGTGCATGTGTTTTTTTTCCCTCTCCACCTGATGCTAAATAATTAGAAGTCGGACACCTAGATGTGATGCCACAATGAGATAATTCTGCAGACAATATACAAAAATAACAATTATAATGAAAGAATTCATATTAGCAGCTAACAGGAGGAGTAAGAAATACACTTCTTGGGATAATGATGATATCAAAACATAAGTATACTTATGAAGAAACAGTAAAGGATCATAAAAGATAAAAAGTACAGGTTTCACAGCAATAAAAAAATAACACACGTGATAGATGTTTATAAAAAAAAAAATAAAGGCAAGAATTATATGAAAACTACAACCACATATTAGAAGAAAAGGAAGTCATCATTTTTGGCCACAAAATAATAATAGAAAGAAAGAAAGAAAAAGAAAGAAAGAAAATCTGATAACATGTGGAAATGGAAAAAACTTCAAGAGATAGAGGTAGACAATGAAAGAGCTTTTTGTCATGACAAGGAAAGGAAGGGTGTCAGCACACAAACTGATATATGCTGCTAGAAGTCGGGTTTAGATGTGGATTAGCATGATCACCAATGCCGGCTGCAAGGCACTGAATGACAATTACTTCAATTATTTTTTTTAAAGCACATACAAAAATTTTTTAAACGTTCTAAATGCAATATTAGCACTGAGAACAACTGAAAGCTCAAACAGAAAGCCGGCACAACATTTTCTTCTGGGAACAAAATAAACTGAATTTCAGATAATACATTTAGTTAAATTTGTAGGCCCCCCTACGGAATGTGCAACCATATTCACACAAAGAGGGATTAGCAATGATAAGGTACACATCCTACTTCCTTGTTTATCAATAGCATACATGCAAGAGTCTTTAATAAAAGTCAATATAAACAACACTGCACTATAATAGTAGCAAGTGTCTCTACAAGCTGCCCTGCCTAGTACATAATTAAAAGTAGATCATTTATTTGCAGAATTAAATGTCTTTGTGGAAAGGTGGGGGGGGGGGGGGGGAGGGGGGAGAGAGACTTTTGTTCAATAACAGATGTTAGACAATCACTTTGTTAACAAATGTCTAGAGATGCTAAGAAATAACAGATATTTTGGCAACACTTAAATTTTTTTTTTATATAAACTTGATTGGTTGAGCTATTCAATGAATGTACTTATTTTCCACATCCTGTTGTAAAATTAGCAATCCACAAAAAATGTATTCATGTTTTTTTTTTTAAAATGACATGGCAATCCATGGGAGAGCGGTGTGAAATCCTTCCCTGCTAGCCTAACAGAACCATGTTTGAGTTCACTGACATTCTTTTCCATCCAGGTCAATTTAATTTAGTAGCAGCTCTGTGTGGGTTTTTCCATTCAGGTCAATGCTATTTAGTAGCCCTGTGTGTTTTTCCATCCAGGTCAATGTAATTTAGTAGCAGCCCTGTGTGGGTTTTTTCCATCCAGGTCAATGTAATTTAGTAGCAGCCCTGTGTGGGTTTTTTCCATCCAGGTCAATGTAATTTAGTAGCCCTGTGGGTTTTTTCCATCCAGGCCAATGTAATTTAGTAGTAGCCCTGTGTGGGTTTTTTCCATTTAGGTCAATGTAATTTAGTAGTAGCCCTGTGTGAGTTTTTCATCCAGGTCAATGCAATTTAGTAGTAGCCCTGTGTGGGTTTTTTCCATCCAGGTCAACGTAATCTAGTAACCGTATGTGGGTTTTTCCCATCCAGGTCAATGTGATTTAGTAGCCCTGAGTGGGATTTTTCCATCCAGGTCAATGCAATTTAGTAGCCCTGTGTGGGTTATTTCCATCAAGGTCAATGTAATTTAGTAGCCCTGTGGGTTTTTTCCATCCAGGCCAATGTAATTTAGTAGTAGCCCTGTGTGGGTTTTTTCCATTTAGGTCAATGTAATTTAGTAGTAGCCCTGTGTGAGTTTTTCATCCAGGTCAATGCAATTTAGTAGTAGCCCTGTGTGGGTTTTTTCCATCCAGGTCAACGTAATCTAGTAACCGTATGTGGGTTTTTCCCATCCAGGTCAATGTGATTTAGTAGCCCTGAGTGGGATTTTTCCATCCAGGTCAATGCAATTTAGTAGCCCTGTGTGGGTTATTTCCATCAAGGTCAATGTAATCTAGTAGCCGTATGTGGGTTTTTTCCCATCCAGGTCAATGTGATTTGGTAGCCCTGTGCTGATTATTTCCATCCATGTCAATATGATTTAGTAGCCCTGTGTGGTGTTTCCTGGAGTGAATCTGTCTGAGAAGTGAGGAACCAACAGCCTGCAACAATAAGCCGGATCTGTAAAATGGATGTGCACACAAAAACTCAAATAGATCAAAGTCCAGAAGTGGACGAACAAGCAGAAGCTTCCGCCAGAGCTTACAGTCAGTAAACAAGAAGAAGAACATCCTTAAAAAAATACCATGAAATGTTCTTGGAATTAAAGGAGGTCATAGGTCTGACTATAAGTATATCAGCCATTAAGTGGCGAATGACTTGTACAGATACTGATTAAGCACAATAATCCTAACGGCGTGAGGGTAATCCTTTTATTTATTAATCACATACTGAGTAAATCACAGAATACTGCAAATATAAAGATAATTTACATTTCAGATGGAGTATATTATCAACACAAACCAGTTAGGGGCTGCGAGGTCTCGAGGCATGGTGTCCACCTCGAGTGCTAGAGGTTCCAGGTTCAATCCCCAGTAAGGGCTGGGATTTTTTCCAAGTAATTCCTCCTGGTCTCTGGATAGTGAGATCGGATGCCTGGGTGCATTGTTGCGCACATCAAAAATCCCCTGGAGTTGAAAATAGAAAAGAGTAACCTAACGGGGCTGCCCGGGCAAAATTTGGAGTTGAAAATGTACCCTAAGTATTTCATGATTCTAGCCGGTGCTACAGAGCCTGTGCTGAGCTTCTTTGGACTCAGACTTGAGTAAGAAGAAGAACGGAGCATTAATGGGTTACTACCTGTGTGCCATGATGTTGATTCAATGTTCAAACTTCCAATTACAAAAGAAAAACCAAAGACCGGACAGAACATTAATTTATGCAAGTAAGCAGCATACCTTGACCAGAGTATGTCTCCAGCAACTTATCACTCAAGACCTTCCCTTGCTGAGCCAGAGCTGTCAGAGCCAATGCCTTGTACAGGCCATTTCTTGTCATGAATCCTTGGTTTGTGTCCACAAGATCCCATATCTGATGCCCAATAAACAAAAAGACAACATGGTTCAACCAACTTTGTAAGTAAACTTTCATATCTTATACTTATGAATTCACCATTATAAGAAAGGTAGTTGGCTGTGTTGTGGCTTACAGCTAGGCTGTGACATCTCGCCTTTCGGCCCAATACATCCAATTTCAACAAATTCCTAGTTAGTTTCCCTCTTTCATGTGACATTTTTTTAGGGACAGTGGATCTAACACCCCCCCCCCCCCCCCCACACACACAATCCCCCCCCCCCCCCCCCCCCCCCCCCCCCCCCCCCCCCCCCCCCCCCATAAAAATTAGGAATATGCCCATCAACATACATGATGGAAACTTTCAGGCAGAAGATATTATCGAGCAAATATGCAGCCTAACTGACATCACTCCTGGTGCAGAGTGATACCTATGCAAAGGGAATACCCGAGCCTGATGCACTTTTACATTTTTCTGTATTGCCACACTCGATAGGCAATGCAGGGAGCAGAATCCTGTTGCTGTCAATGCAGAAGTCAACGAACGATTTCATCAGTGAAAATTCAGATGAAGCTGATGTACTAACATTGATTGAAATGAAAGAGCTGATAGATTGGCCAGATCCGCTATCACTATCGACAGTCATGCTGATATTATTAATGCTGTCAGAGAAATAGAAAGGGTGGAGGTCTTTGGGGTATTGAATCCACATCATACAACAGAATAACAGACTTGGGAGTTGAGATCAGCACAGCAAAAAAAAATAGACGCATACCAGGCACATCTGAGGACTTGTTAATCAACATAGATCTGGTACTATTAGCCACCGGACGCTGGGGTTAATACTGAGGGGAAGATCTGAGCAGATATGGATGTGTCCAGAGTGCAATGATGACAACCGAACTAACTTACTTTCATAAGAACATGAAAATCAAACCGTCAGAAAGACTTGAAAATCAGTCTAAGAATCAAACTATTATAAGGACTTAAAATTAAACTAAATTTATTAATAAAACTATACAGATTTGTGAATCAAATTAAACAGACTGAGAATCAAACTTTCATAAGAAGTCAAGAACCAAACTATCAAATGGACCTGAAAATAAAATTTTCATGAGTATCTGAGCATCAAACTATCATTAAAATTTGAAATCACATTTTCATGATGATCTAAGAACAAAAGCCTATTCAAATGTCAAACTTTATGTTTCATGAGAAAACAATAACAAAACTTGCAATGCCAACGACAATTTCTGTTTCTACAACCCCTCAAGCATGCAGCTATTTTGTGAGGCAAAATATTATTTATTACAGCAGACCTATTTTGTGTGATTTAATTATATTATAAATTTGCTTGTTTATTAAAATTCTTCCTATTTAACTCTTTGAGTTCCAGGAGGTTTAGCATCACAGGCCCAAGGGCTAGTCAAGAAAGATGTAAAATCAGCGCATCTTGCGTTCATTGGGCATCTAGGTAGGAATCTATGACCGTATGACGCGCAACTTGGGACTAAAAGAGTTAAAGAATAATGTCAAGCTGATCAGAAGACCTGCACCGAATAACAGACTGACATCAAGCACAAACTATTTATTTCAATTAAGTCTGAAAAGTAGGTTTAAATTATTTACTTTAATATTTCAGTATTCTGAATTAGGTCATTGTGCGTGTGTGGAGCTAAGAACTGACATCATAGCACACAGGACATTGCCATGAGCACCCCCGTCCTCATTTCCAGCAGCCAACGAAGAGTTTCAGTTTTGATGGTGCTATTCTGATTATATCTCTGTCTTGCTTTTCCCCCCTGAGTGTAGAGAAGGGCTATTCAACTAGCAGCATGCAAAGGCAAAGCCAGATCATTGCCAGTTTTACTGTGTTAATGATCTTTCTAGGCTGAGATCAGGCCTCTGATATCCCTATTTTCAAAATTTTGGCCACTGAGTAAACGTAGTTGAACAGCTCTGGTGCAGAGTGTCGACCAGATCCCCTATCACTCCCACCCCCACCATTTTCTCCAAACTGTAATGATCAATTAGTGCATCTGTTGAACTGATGAAGGCTTTCTAGCCGCAACATTTACTTGTCGTCTGTGACTGTGATAATATGAAGCTGAGTAGTTCTGCCTTTCATTTGGTTTGATACATTTTCATGATAACACAAGTTGCAACAATGCACATCTCAGACATTTTCAGGTAATTTAGCATGCCACAAAAGATGCATTTGAGTTGGTTGTGTATCCTTTACAGCATGCTGCAGAGCCAACCCCGCACATTTTGGCTGTTGTGGTTTTCCTAGGACAATTTACATTCAGTAGTTTACCATTGGTTTCTGAAATCTGAATGGTCAACTCTCGATAACACTGTCAAAACCAATGTGCTAAACTGTATGGGCACTGGCTATAGTAAGCTGGTCAATGGAACAACACTTATGAAGTCAGAACCAGGTCGAGTGGTGCTTTAGAGAAACATTTCTGTTGACAGGCAAAGAAACGGTCTCTATTTACTTTTACTACTGTTAGTACTATTACAGACTTAGGCTCTCCTCTGAACTTCTACCCCCGCAGTATTGCGGCTTGAAATATCCGTTCGGGGCGCAGTCCAATTAAAAATACGGACTTGTCGGAGTTCCCGCCGAGGAACATATTGCGACAAAACTAGGAGTTCCTTACAATGTCACGAGATGCAACATTGCAGACGATAGTAGCAGACGATAAAAGCGACCGTTGACAATGTCGAGCGTTTTCTGCAGACGATACTAGCAGACGATAAAAGCGACCGTTGACAATTTTGAGACATTACAGACGACGACAGCGATATGGCGGGTAGACCACGTGCCCCACGCAGATTAGCAATACTTTCCTCCCGATTGAGGATTTAGCAGCAGTAGATGTCAGACTTGTCGGCATGCGCAAAACGCGATTTAACTCACCGCCGAGGGTATCCCCAGCGCCGCGACGCGCGGATGGGGGGCTAAACTAGGTGCCTGGGACTCACAAGCAAAGTAATTGGAGGAAGTTGCAGGAGATGCGGTAGCTGCCGCTTGTGAGTCCAAGCCATCTAGTTTAGCCCCTATCCGCGCTGTGTGTAGCGGATACGCTCGGCGGTGAGGCATAGTCACAGAAACAGGTCCGCAAGTAACATATCGCTGAGACCCTGTTAGAGCATTTGTTTCGTTTTTCCGAGCCGATCCTAGATTTGCCGCGATTTTTTCATCGGCAGAAAGTTCGACAATGGAAAAAGTCAACGGTCGCTATTATTATCGTCTGCAGTGTTGCGTGCGTCTCTTAGAAATGTCAGGTAATCAAAAACAATAAAAAACAGGTCTGCAAGTAACATATCGCTGAGACCCTGTTAGAGCATTTGTTTTGTTATACGAAGCTGGCATATTTTTAATTGGACTGCTCCCCGAACGGATATTTCAGACCGCAATACTGCGGGGGTAGAAGTTCGGAGGAGAGCCCAGACTTAAATCACGTTACTTGTGATTGATCATTCAGTTCTACGTCTACAGTCCCCACCCACCTCTCTGGTGATGGTAACGATTTATCTTGAATATTAACTGAAGTAATATTTATGTGACTAAATACAGTATCCATCATATACATATACTTCCTAAATTTAGTTTAGTATTTTAAAAAATTAGACCTTTGCTGCTTTGCAATTCTCTTAGAACACAAGTGCCACGCAATTAACAGAGAATGTACATTAATGTCGCATTGTCTCAACGAACCCTATACACAACAGACTTTAATTATTTACATATTTTCGTTATTTACAGTTTAAGTGTAGTAACCCTATTATTGCGTTTCTTAACTTAACATAAAACAAATACGTACCTGCATAACAGTTTGCTTCGGCAGGCTTGACTGAACCAACAACTGCACGAACAACTCCCGGTCAACCTGCTCTTGGTTAGGACACACGATATCATACACCTCCCGATAGAATGGGGGAATCGAGCCTGTAGACAAACACAAATAATTGGCCATCATCAAAGAAATGCGGCACCACGTTAGGGACAGATAATATTATAACTAACACAGCGGCATGTAACACATTACAACGGAACCACCCACCGAACGACAGGTCGGCCGCCATCTTCAATGAAAGTCATGTGACACTGGTGTTGTGAAGTGAAACTTGTTGACATCTTCAAAAAGCCAACGCCGTGTTTAAAACCTCAACACGAAACAAGCTTAATGTTTTACTTGGTAGACTCTGCAATACCAGAGGACTGGGCTTATATATATGATCAGATTGTGTTAATTTAACTTTATAAATGTGGATAAAATGCAAAGTTGCTGTTTTAAAAGAAGTAATAGTAGTAATATCCTTCAACTATACTATCACGGTTATTTTTTATATATCACTGAATAATTCAGTGAGTAGCAACTAATGAGTCTAGTAATGGTTATTCAATTGCGTATCTTTACAGTCAACAGCCCCTGGCTGTTGTGTGGTTCTTCTATGCAAATTTACGTCCAGTAGCTTGCTATTGCTTTCTGGACGGTCGGCTTTCTTGTGATACCACTTTCGAAACCAACGCAAGGCGCATAGCCCGCACCTGGGATCGAACCCGGCATCCCGGCATTACGAAGTATTCGCATCGACTTAGCCACAGAGCCGACACAATAAAACTAATAATTAGTAATAATTATAATAATATTATTAATATGATTAATAATTATTAGTTTTAAGAGATAAGATGGCGCTATATTGGACTCGTTTTGAGAAGAGATAAACAGAGAATCACCAAACCGGCACTGCAATTCAAAATAGATGGACTGGGGAAACGGGGGTGTTCAAGAGAAACCCATCGATGAGAGAAGCCAGCGGTGTTGGACTGGATTCCATCCATGATATCGAAATGATCGCACAGGATAGAATGGAATAGAGAAATAGTCTGTGAGCCCTATGTGACATATAATGGCACAGTAGGGGGCTCTACTGGCAAATCCGGACGAAGAATAAACAGCCTTGGACGACTTAGTCAGAGTTATCTCCCGTGTGCGCACTCCAAACAGTGATCGGAAAAGCCATAACGAAACAAAGACGACAGTCACGTCGACATCAGGGCTGCCAATGCTTGGTTGTTTCCCCCAGATGTGGGTTTTTTTTTTCGACGCTGCAGGACAATTCTGGGTGTTTTTTTGGGTGTGTTTTGTTTGTTGGTGTTTGCCGAATTGTATGCTTTAATGATCGATAAATTTGCGTGGTTAGGGGGTAGGGGTTAGGGTTAGGGAGTAGGATTAGGGTTAGCGGTAGGGTTAGGTTTAGCGTTAGATTTGACAATTTTGACGCCGGAGTTCCCTATAATCGCGCACAGTCCCATACACACACACAAACAATCGAGGGCCTCTGGATGCTGGTCAAACGCACAAGTCGCCAGCGATTGGGGGCACGAGCCGCACGCTATTGGCGTCATATTTGGCAGAGTTTCAGTGGCGCCACTCCCACAAACATCAGATTGTCGGCCAGTATTTCGAAATCCTACGTCAAAATTGTCACATCTAACCCTACCCCTAACCCTACCCCTTACCCTACCCCTAACCCTACCCCTAACCCTAACCCTACCCCTAACTCTAATCCAACAACCGCATGATGATGACTACACAACCATTCACAATGCCTCACGCAACCGTACGCAACCCTGCATGCAACCATATGATGATGCCACGATGCCTCACGCAACCGTACGCAGCCCTACACGCAACCGCAGTATGATAGCTAAGTGTGTCGTTTGTTTCGTTTGTTTTCCGATCACTGTTTGGAGTGCGCACACGGGAGAGAACTCTGACTAAGTCGTCCAAGGCTGTTTAGTCTTCGTCCGGATTTGCCAGTAGAGCCCAGTAGGGTAACGAGTGAATAGTAGTATACTTGTTGCGTGTCGAAATGATTGCACAGGATAGAATGGAATAGAGAAATAGTCTGTGAGCTCCTTTTTTCTCCGCCAACCATTGCAGATACAACCAGTCTGTCAGCTCTTTCATTTTCTTTCACCCTGACATTGTTTCTTGAGACTGGACTTCTGGATGCTTTCAATCAAACTATTTTGGTTAGAGTTTGCCAATTTGGATTTTGTCACTGCCAACACATGACTTACTTTCACACACCCCCCCTCCCCTACCCCCTCACCATGCGAGGATCCATGTGACAGCTGTCTCCATCGTCATACCTGACTATCTTCTTTTATTGTCTTCCCAAAGATCTCAGCTGTATACTACCACCCATGCTGCACCCCACGAATCACTGAGCCATCTGTATAGATAATGACATTACCTGGCTGAGTATGCTGATGGATAAGGACTCTTATTTCAGCAACATCGGTGTCGAGTTCCATTCTCTGCAATACTTGCCCAGGGTGGTTATTACCTCATTGCTCTCATGCATTCTTTTTAGTGTTTCTATCCATTCACTACCGTGCCTGACACATTCCAGTGAGCAAATGTGGCTAAAGGTATCATCTGCTTCTGCAATCTAGGACCGCCTCTTTTTAATCGTTTACCTCTGTTTACCTGTAGGCAGTGTAGAGGGTGTTTTTATGTCAGCAGCAACTGACCAGTCTGACAAGTTCCTGCTGCAGGGCTTTAGCTGTCTCCTCTCTGACTGTACCGTGTCTTTACATCAGTACATCATCAAATGACTAGGCTGGATGTGTGTGAAACCCCTGTTGTGTACATATTAAATAGAACAGGTGACAGCGGTGATCTCTGAGGTAACATTGGCATGATGGTTCACACCTTCAACAGCCATGCCTATGTCTCGCACTTTAGCACTGCTGTTCTTTTTAGAAGTGCACCACAGATACAGTTGATCAGGATTGGATCAGTATTCATGTCTAACAGAAGTGTCATGAACTGCATTGAACTGTTCAGTCCATAAATGCTCGGACCCCTCCTCAGTTTACCCTGCTGGATGTAGCAGCTGACAACACCTTTTCTGTGTTGGTTTCTAAATCTTCTTTGACTTCCTGCATAGTACTCTTGTCTGGCGACACCCCCTTTTAACATGTAGCTCATGCAGTCTGGTCTCGGTAGCAGATTCACAGTCATCATTTAGTTCTCGCAAATGTCTTAATTCTGCTAGAGCATGAAGAATATCATCATACTTTGGTCGAAACATTCCGTTGTGTTTGTATGTGTCTTTTCCATTCCCTCCGTTGTGCTTTCTAGTCATATTTTGTGTTATTCTTAGCATTAAAAATATAAGCCTGGCCCATGGCTTGTCTGCCCTTCACAGTAGTTTTTACTGCAAACCTATCAGCCTGCTCATTTCCTCGCATGCTGTCGTGCCCCTGGCATAAATATAAAACTGATGTTTGGCAGACCCGACTGCTTACAGTCCCTCCCCTTACAGTAGTGCTGACAGATGACGCCTAAAAAATGTGCTAGCCCTGGCTAGTACCATATTGCCTGTAGATATCAAGGCATGAAAACATGATTTTTAATTTTTTTACATTTATCCTAAATAGAAACATTTAACATGATGTTACTCTATAAATACAGTACCTCTGTATATCACAAAACATGTAATTTCTGTTACCTTATTTAAGTCTCTTATTAACAAGGTACCTGAAGAAACTGAAAATATAGGTACTAGTGATATGCCTAAATGGACATGTCAGTCATATTATTATTTTATTTAATTAATTTGGGTTTGACCCAAATACTCTTTACTTTAACTATAGATAAACAGGAATGAATTTTTAAAAAAAAAGGGAGTAAGGAGTATACATCATATGTCAATTCAAGCTGTACTGAGTGTGGTAATTCAACACTGATTTCTGTGTACCCCGATGTACATTCATTCGGACAATGTTGTATGTACAGTCAGCAAATGCATCACAATCATGGCGAGTTTTCAATGTCGTCATGTGTGTTTTCTTTTCATTGGCAGCCTATGTAAATGTGAGTAATAATTGCCCTATTGAACTTTTTTTTTTAAAACTACATTAATCATTAAATTTGTACCATGTCACAATGGAGGTTGGTTGCAGTTCATACACTGCTGGCTTTAGGAATATTACTTAGTCAGGCCTGATCTCTTCCTTGGTTGGATTCTCATTCTACTGTCTGAATGCCATGAGAATGGTCGTTGTCTTAAGTTTCTGTTGTATGCATCTTCTTCTTCTAAAGTCCATAACGTGCAGCCTTAGTAGTCATACCTATCCACAACCTTCTGTCTCGTGTACTTTCAGTCAGCTCTGAAACAGATGATCCTCCATGCCATGATGTCAAACTGTCCAGCATCTTTTCTCTTAGTCTCTGCCTCTCCTCCCCTCCCACTTTCCTACTGTCACGATGTACTCCTGTTTTTCAACTGATCCTGATAAATCAAGAGATTGATTATGAAATCATTTAACTTACCTTTAAACTACAGAATTAAAAAGCTATTTATTCGTTGTATTAGATGACCTTCTCTCTCATCAGTTTTATCATAATTTCTCTTGAATGTTATGGGTTTCTTAGTCTCTGCCTCTCCTCCCCTCCCACTTTCCTACTGTCACGATGTACTCCTGTTTTCAACTGATCCTGATAAATCAAGAGATTGATTATGAAATCATTTAACTTACCTTTAAACTACAGAATTAAAAAGCTATTTATTCATTGTATTAGATGACCTTCTCTCTCATCAGTTTTATCATAATTTCTCTTGAATGTTATGGGTTTCTCAATCCATTTATTTCCAATTGTAGTACATTCATTTTTTTTTAGCTCAGAATGTGCCTAATATGTCATCTTCTTTTTTCTTCGAAATCTTGATATCAGTGGTTGGGTAAAAGTAATGTTAGTCTCCCCAGACCCCGCCCATTTACACACTAGCTCACTTCTGATTGGTAGTTTCTGAGCCCCACGAACTTTGCACAAGGTTACAGGGGTGTTCCGCAACGCCGTTGATCTTGCGTGTTGTATATTTCAGCACACCAGCGCTTTTAACACTCCAAAAACATGGAGAAACTGGGTCTATCACAACTCCCTAGAGAGTGCTGCGCAGAGAAACTCTACAGCACTATGATGTGTCTGTGGTTAAAGCAGCCAGAAGAGCACGAATATATCTCCCTGAACACCCAAAGTAGTAAAAGAGGATATAAAGAAGAAGATCAGCACTTTTTTCTCAGAAAAAAGCCCAGGTATAATGATTTCCCCACTTATTTTAATCTTACTGTTTGAATATTAAGTGATTTTTAAAACAGCTTTAATATACATTTAAAAACTAAAACACACAACATACCAACTTATTTAAAAGTAAGAAGCAAAAAGTAAAATTATATTTGTTCTTTTTTTTTTTCATTTCACTTTCAGTTCAATGATGATGACTGGTATATTTGGGTGGTAAGTCAAACTCACTGACATTTTTAAATTCTTTATGTTTTGCAGTTTTATAAATCATGAAGACAGCAAATTGTGTGTAAATTGCATATCAAGATTCCTGAGAAAAAAAAATAACTTTAGTGTGCCATTCAGTTTTACAGTGTGATGGTGATAATGATCTTCTTTTTTTTTCCTAAGCCTTCACTTGCTTTAAACTCCTGCAGAAAGTTCTGGTTGTTTATCCACTTCTGGTCTTTGGTCATGTTCTAGAAGTTGAGTTTTGTGCGCACATGCTTTTTACAGTTTGGACTTATTTATTTGCAAACTGTTGGTTTCTCATCTGTCAGGCAGATGCACTTCAACTTGCGAAGGAAACACTTTTAATTAGTCGTTTTTTATTACATGCTTCGGCGTAATGCTGACCACATTACCCACCCAGTGCTTATTGGTCTGTAAAAATATGGGACACTTCCCATATACCCGATGTGCCTAGGGCGTGAAAAGGGAAAAGGTAAGGTAAAGGTACGACATTTTTGGTAGGAGGGCACTAAGTCTGTTGTTCTTCTCCCAAAATGGGGCCACAGACGCACATAGGGAAATGATCTCCAGATTGTTGGGGAAAATCTTAGACTTATAAATAACGAATATTGGAAACAACATAATATAATTCAGTCCTGTCCATTTCTTTATGTTGTCATTGCAGATTCTTCTTTGGTCTCCTCTTCTTCGACTACCCCCCAATGTTCCTTGAAGCATAGTCTTTGCAATTTAATTATGTCTCATCATGTGCCCGAACCTAGTTAGCTTGCGACGTTTCACCACTGCCAAGAAGGGCTCCTGATGTCCAGCAAATCTTTATATTTAATAATGTTGGAAACAACATGCTGCCATTAGAATAACAGCTATTCAAGACAGTCGTGTGGAGTGTTTTCATGATCACTGTATAATGAAATTATAATGAAGCATTAAAAAAAGACACGAAGGAGAAAACTGGCGTACATAATGATGGTGGAAAATAGGAGGGGGAAAGAGGCAGAGTAAGACCCAGAGAGAAGATGCTGTATGGTTTGACATCATGGCAGGGAAGATCATCTGTGTCAGAATGTCAAGAAAACCATACATGTTTGCACACATGTAAACATGTATCTTAGAAGTCACATTTCCTCTCTCTGTGTGTCTGTCTCTCTTTCTCTCATCCTCCCTCCCTCTCTTTCTCTCATCTTCCCTTTCTCTGTCACACAGACACTCACATGAACGCACACACGTCTGCCCATATAAATTCATTCATTCATTCATTCTGTTACCTATCAAGCAATCAGTAATGTCCGGAGTGCAATGAGGATAACCCAACTAACTAACTAACTAACTAACTAACTAACAGTAATGATCCTTTTATTTTAGACTTGAATAATAAAAAGGTATATTGTCTGGGGTTTTTTCTTAATACATTTGTCACTGTCAATTAATTTCTAACTCTAAATTCTGGTAATTGCCCACAGCCCATATAACACGGTACCTGCACTTTTGTCTGGATTTTTTCCCTAATACATTTGTCACTGTCAATTAATTTCTAACTCTAAATTCTGGTAACTGCCCACAGCCCATATACACAGTACCTGCACTTTTGTCTGCATCTGTTGCCATGAAACCAAGTCTTGCTGGTAGGAATTTTGTACATGTAGTTAAAAAAACAAATGAGTACCCATTGAAATTAGTAGACTGTTTTGTCTGTCAGGTTTTCTAGTTATATTTTTACTTTATTTTACCTTTATTATTTTACATGTAATGTTAGTGAATCAATGTTGAATTAAGAATTGATATCACAGCACTCAGGACACTCCATAAGTGCTCCGTCCCCATCTTCAGCAGCAGGCGAAGAATTCCATTTCCGATGGCACTAGTAACTGTCTGATTGTACATCCCTCTCGCCTTGAGTTTTAAGTATTGGGCCAGATCCCATGGTAACTTCCCACATCGCCATTCTCCTCAGACCATTATGATTTTTGAGGTGCCTCATCACCAGGTGTATAGACTCCTTTAGGACATCCTCTGCTTCTTCCTTAGCAAGCAGGCAATACTAGGATGACCGTTCACTTCCTGCATTGATAGAAAATATCCTGTGGATTTTGTACTTAATAATAAAAAGAATCATTGATGGAGCTACAGAGTGCATGCTCTGTGATTGATACCAACTTGAGGTGGCAATGGAGAGAGTTGGAAGAAGAGAAGATGAGGAAATGGAGAGAGAGGAAGGCACAGAAATAGGAGAGCGGGAACCCGGAGAGTCAGACAGAAAACATAACTCTTGGGATTAAAGCATAGAGAGGACCTGTACTGGAGAGACTGATTTATGATTTTGATATCATCATGCTGCAGGAGCGGATTTTTATCGTGGTATGGGACGTCGCAGGTCGACCCAGCCTAAAATGGGTACCAGGATGGGCTGTCCTGGGAAAGTAAAGACAGCCGGCGTAATGCTGACCACATTACCCACAGAGTGCTGATGGTCTGTAAAAATATGGGACGCTCTGCCCATATGCCCGATGCGCCGAAAGGCGTGAAAAGGGATCTTTACTTTACTTTACTTTACTTTACATGCTGCAGGAATTAAATATAGAAAGATAAGAGTGTCCTGGATACATTAGTTATACAAATTCTACTGGATAGGAAAGACGCTGGCAATGTCTGCTGCTGAAGAATGGGGTGAAGCATGTGATTCTTAACCTGGGCCAGTGGAATCATAGAACACTAGAGATTGAGGGTATACAGATAGTTAATGGAAGCCCAAGGTGGAATTAAGTATATGTTTACACTGCTGTTGACTCTCTTGTCACAAAGGAACATTGGGATTGGTTCAGATAGTTGGAGGAAATCCCAGGTAATGGGCTTCTTATTTGTGGAATTTTAGTGTGTGGAACAGAACATGGGGCAGTACTGGGAACAATCGCAGAGCTATGGTAGATGCAGACATAGTCTTTATAAAGGACGGTAATAAATAAATTACAGGTGAGATTGAAATATTATATCCAAACTGTATTTAAATGTAAATGCAGGGACTGGCCAGCGGGTGCTGCAGAATCAGAAGTTTAATAAATGATTCTTGACAATTCCTGTTCGAGTGATGCTGTTATCTATACAAATGGCTCTGTGTTAAGAGGCAGGCAAAGTGCATTAGGGTTGTAGAAAAGCAAATGGACATTATTTAGTGCAATAAAGTCTGACATACAGTACCACAACATTTAGTTTGAGAATGGAGATGGAGGCAGTCATTGTAGCCTTCTGCTGACTTGTGAACAAGCTTTACACACATGTCGTAAAGACTGGCTGGTTCTGGACCACTTGGTGTGAATGTATACCTGACAAGCTAGATTTTGTAAGGGTCCTTCAGGGGCGAGAGAACAGTGTGGAGGCACAATTTGAATGTTAGGGTCTGAGAAGATGACACTGCAAAAGGTGATCAGGCGATCTGGCCACCGTTTAACACTCAAGCAAAAGGTGAAAGGATATATATTCAGACTGGTATCATCAGAATTGGAACTCTGCACTTGCTGTTGAAGATGGGGATGAAGCGCTTATGGGAATGTCCTAAGTGCTGTGATATCTATTCCTAATTCACCATTTTATTTAAATGTTTTAGTTCGTTATATTTAATCTTAGTAACATTAAACAGTACATGGCTTCCTGATACAGAAGTTTAGGTTACATTTCCCAAATCATATATAATTTTTCATAAATCGAGCAGATATTTCTGTGAAAAGAGCTGGTCAACTAATTTTGCAGTGATGTATATGTGCATATGTAACTTCACACCTCAAGAAAGTACTTGTCATTGCACATTACCCTAGCTCATGAACACATAATTGTCACATCAGAATTTAGTTCACCTGTTTAGCTACTGACTTCTTGAAAGGACCACAGTTATATTTATCACTCCACACTGCTCGAAAGCCTTATGGATTGAGCTATTTGCAAAACACAGCTGTTATCTCAAACTACCAGAAAATGTTTCTATGCTTTGTCTGTTATTTTGCCTCATAATCTTTTGTGCTGATAATGTGTTGTATTTTTTCAATGTTCTGTGTTTGCAATTATCTTGGTCGCCATTATCTTGATTAATTGCTGCTGTCTTTCTTTGTTTCCCCCAGTAACATGCCTTAAGTTACTGTTCTTTTTAAAACACCTGTTGTGAAGATTTTCTAGTGATTAAACAATTTTTGTCAAGAGTCTGTGCCATCTTCACAATGCTGGTTGGATTCAGTGTTCTACTGCTGTCTTTTGAAATGTTACACAGTGAGACTCCAATCTCATCCATGGTGTGACTCTCGTTATTTGAAAAACACTAGAACATTTTTTTCTTTCAAAAACAGTCTACCGAGGGATTCAAACCCTCGTACTCGACATTCATAAAATTGTTCTCTAGATGGGACAATGTGTTTGGTGTATTGACACTAAAAACAGGGCAGAACAGACTTTGCCAAATTATGTTCACATTGGTCAGTGTAGGAAACACAGAGATGTCTCCCTGCAGTTTAGTACCAGAAAATGCTGAGCATGTGCTCTAACACTGTCGACTGTATAATGCCAACATAGACACAATCTGACCTGTTCCTACCTCAGGCAAGACAAAGCTGTATGGTACACAAGGACATATGGACTGCACAATAGCTTTCATAAAGGCCTCCGACAGAAAGATAGAAGAAGAAGAAAATAAAATTGTTAAACTCTTTCCCTAACCTTCAAGTCAAAGAGCCACACAGTCTTGTCACTAAAGAATGTAAGAAGTTACTCCTAAGCCATCTGGATGATTATCATGAATAAATGGTAAATATAAATGGTAAATATGTTTCTTTGTTTTTATTCCATACATCTTCAGATATTTAGCATTGCTCATGCTATCTTTCTCATTCTATTTAATAGAGAGCACGTCATGGAATAAGTTAGTCAGCATTGACTTCATCCTGTGCTCTCTCTATAGTTTGTACCAGCTGTTTGCATTGTTTAAAAAGATGCCTAGTAACAATTTGGAGAACCCCTTAATTCACGAGGAAGGAAGGTGAGTTCTAAAAGCTTGGAACCAGATGTTAATTTATAAATGGTAAGTAAAGATCCCTTTTTATGCTTTTAGGCATATCAGGTATATGGGAAGAGCGCCCATATTTTTATAGACCGTCAGCACTAGGTGGGTAATGTGGTCAGCATTACGCCGGCCGTCTTTACTTCCCCAGGAGAGCCATCCTGGTACCCATTTTAGGCTGGGTCGACCTGTAACACCCCATACCTTGATAAAAATCCACGCAGCCAACAGTGGATTTCAGTCGCGGTACGTTGGAATTAGGAGTCGGACTTGCAACGCCTAAGCCACGGATGCCACAATTTATAAATGGTAAACAATTTAATTGCAACTGTTTCTGTCACAGACAGATGTTTGCCTTTAGATCAGGGATGGAAACCCTTTTTTTTATTTTTCCATGTGCCATTTGCATATTAAAACATCATTTATGGGCCATACGCCCGGCTCTCTAGCGTAGTTGGCTAAACCGGATTGCGCGGAGACCGGGTGACGAACTCCTTGTGGTACGGGTTCAATCCCGGGGGTTGGCAGGAAAGCCACATTTTCTCCCAGATTTACGGTATTTACAATGGAATCAAGGCTGAAAGGTTGCGATATCCATAATACTGAGCCTAAGGGTTAAAAACTCATGGCTTCTGGATACTAAAACAAACAAACATGGGCCATACAAAGAATCTTAACTTAAAAATTAGCCTGCTGTATTTAGTCAAACATGTAATTCTCATTGCCTTGGCAGGAACAGACCAAATTATTTTGCAAGCTTTTTGCTCTGTGGGCCAGGCATTCCCCAATTCTACTTTAGAAAAACACATTTTTGCTTCTGTTAGTGAAAATAGAGTGACACTTTATCAGATGGAACAAGTGTGAGTGAAACTAGACTAACTGAATGTGTGAATTGTAATAAAAAGACCACACTTTAAGATTCTTTTAGCAGGCTCTGTTTAAGCAGTGTTGTTTTTCATTTTGTGACAAACTACATATTGTCAAATGTTCCGTATGATATTACTTTTTTCACATTCTCCTTGTGAGGGGAAATTGTTACACTAAGTTACACATCTTAGGGATCACAGCGTCACTTCAGCAAGTAAAAGTAATTATGTCAAGTTTATTTTCTCTATACTAGTGTTTCTCAACCCCTTTAAAATCATAGCCCACCAAAACAGGGAAAATTGTTTCACGCCCACCTGGTAGCTACATGAGTTAATTGTCCTTATTCCTAGCCCAGACTGGAGTACTTGTAATGTAACCCTTGGAAACCCTAATATAACTTTCTTATGTGGTTGTATGGGGTTTCCGGGTTTTGTACCTGTTTGATTCTTATTTTTGGGGTGGTAATCGTAAAGATTGCAATCCTAAAAGAGAAAAACTATCTACTAGGGCTGTATTGAATATTCGCTTCGTATTAGCTTCGGTGCCGAATAGTGGACCTATTGACTATTCGGTATTCGGCCGAATAGTTGCGGTTGGGCTGAATACGAATAGTAGTTACCTTACACCCGCTTCTTCATGCCTTAATGCTGACAACATAGAACTATTGGTTTTCTTGAAAGCTGATGCAGCTTTCCTCATTAACTATGCTGTCAGTGACAATTTCCAAGTTTAGTTACTTGTTATAATACTTAGGATTCTTTCATTCCTAGTTATTAGTTACCACAGACTAACTGAAGGATGCAAAACATAAAATGTTTTCAAATGTTTACTATTCTGTACGAATACTAACTAGACATGGAAAGAATATAAACTCCGGCCACATCGAAGTCGATAATATGAAAATCAAATGAACGGAAACATATAACTACTTGGGTGCAAACTTCAACTGCTCCAACATGCTGAGAGAAGAAATACAATCTAGAATACAATCTAGAAATAAAGTATACTATGCCCTTCAACATCTGCTAAAGTCAAAGTGTCTGTCTCGCAACACCAAGATCAAAATATATAAAACGTTGATAAGACCAGTCGTTTTATATGGCTGTGAAACTTGAAGCAGAAATAAAAGAGATGAGGCCTTATTACAGGTTTTCGAAAACAGTCTTATGACAAATCTTTGGAAGATGCTAACAGCGGGAAATGGAGAGTGAGAAACAACAACGTAACACATAATCTGTTTAAATCACCATTGATCACTGGCATCATGAGAGCTAACAGACTAAAATGGTTGGGGCATATTGAAAGAATGTCAGATGACAGAGAAGTAAAAACTGTATACACATGAGAGAGGATAGGCGTAGATCACAAGGGAGACCAGGAAAACGATGAAAAGATAATATCCAGACAGACCTGCAAACACTAGGTGTTACCAACTAGAAAGAGAAGGCTAACCAGAGAGATGAGTGGAGGTGGGTGATATCTGCAGCAATGAACCTCAAGGGATCGGAATGCTGAAGAAGAAGTAGAAGTATGTTATTGGACTCCTTGTTACACTATGTGGCTTATTGGGTATTTGTTGCCTGTATCATATTATTTGACAGATCAACATTCTGTGTGTGATACGATTATCATGTTGGCAGACAAAAAAAGACGTTCGAGAGATAATGTCTAGCCAGACATGCAAACAACTAGTGTCACAAATTGTAAAGATAAGGCCAGCCAGAGAGATGAATGGAGACGAGTGATATCTGCAGCAGTAAACCTCAAGGGCTCAGAATGCTAAAGAAGAAGATGACTATTCTGTGCTACTTTATGTGAAGTAAAAGTTCAGCGTACATTTGACATTGTAAATGTTTTTTAAAGATATATTTTATACACTATTCGTATTCGGCGGAATAGTTGGTCCCGTTTACAAAAATCACTTTTCGGTACAGCCCTAGTTTAAATTACATCGAACGAACTGCCGAGCGAACAATGGTTTTGAAAGAGGTGGGAGTGTTGACCACTGGAAAGATCTGTGGAAGGAGGGATAGAGGAAGACACCGATAGAAGATTCTTGACAGTCTTTTTGCATGGCATGGAGGTGTTTCAGCATACGAACTAATACATGCTACAGGACATCACAGATTGTGGTGGGGCATAATCGCCCACGCCAGTCGGCAAGGTACCTGATGATGATAATGTACTATTCGTATTTGGCTGAATAGTTGGTCGCACTATTCGTATTTGGCCAAATAGTGAAAATCACTATTCGGTACAGCCCTACTATCTACCATAACCCATTAAATGATTTGGCAGAGATTTTTGGCGGCCCACTTGGACTTTTCTGCGGCCCATGAGTTGAAGAACACTGCTCTAAACAGATTCCATTTAATGGCAGCCTCCATCTGCCTTGGTATAAGTTATTTTTCCAAATGTTTCCAGGGCAGTTGTATTGAAGCCTACTCTTTCACAATTTCTAACATCTATACAAAAAAAAAAAAAAAAAAACTTTATTTTTAGAGGGTTACAGTTGGGCACGCAGGCCTATCTTACATTCGGCCCTTCCAAGCATTCACCTTTCAGATGGCAGTTGCATTTTATATTTCAAGCATATTATGCTAATATGTCAAAATTAATTGTGTTTAGTGTAAATAAGAAATACAAAGGTATGGATGATAAATGCATACCTTAAAATATACATGCAAAAATATTCACTCATCACAGACACACGCAAGCACATGCATACACACTACCCTTACACACCCAGAGGCGTACACATTGATGGTTAGTTGCGTATCCTTTACAGGACGTTGCAGAACCAACCCCAACAGCCTCTGGGCTGTTGTGTGGTTTTTCTAGGCAAATTTACGTCTAGTAGTTTGCCATTGCTTTCTGGATGGTCGGCTTTCTTGATACCACTGTCAAAACCAACGCAAGGCGCATGGCCTGCAGCTGGGATCGAACCCGGCATCCCGGCATTATGAAGCGTTCACATCGACTTAGTCAGAGAGCCGACTTCACATTGATGACACACACAAAATAAACAGACATACACAGTCACAGATAGAACACATAAACACATAAAAACACACAGACATGACATACACACAGACAACACATACCGATACAACATGTATACAAACAGGCATACAAACTCAACATATACCGATAGATGCAACCAAAAGACACACACACACAATGCATACACACAGACTCAACACAAAGGAACAATGTTTGGTTACAGGTCATCTGTTTCTGTTCTCCTTACTTGAGAAGACTAGATCTCTGATCTTATTATCCTAGATATCAGCATTCTGTGTGATTTCATTGCAACGAACAGTTCTTGATAACATGCCCAGTTCTTAGTAATTAAAACCAAGATAATATTGAGCTGCAAGTGAATTCTGTAACGCATAAGTCATTCTTATGCAAACCCATATCCAGGCTGTGTGCGTCTTAAATACTTATATTCTTGTGAAAACACCACATATTTTGCTTTACATAATTTTGTTGTAATTAAAAAATATTATTAAAGTAAAAGTTCCAGAAAATATATGGGTACCCATTTTTAGACAGAAACATATTGAGAACCATGAATCAAGTGTATGTGCAGTCCTGTCACTTCACAGCCAGCGACAACAAAATTGTATGCTTTGAACTATTCAGTGTTCTCTTCAGATGAGCAGATTCTCTTTCGAGGGAAAAAACCTCAATCATACTGGTGCAGTAAAACCCTTTCAGCTTTAAACATTTCCTTAACTCTTTGAGTCCCAAGTAACGCATCATACATTCATAGGTTCCTACCTAGAAGCCCAATGAATGCATGATGCACTGATTTTATTACTTTCTTTACTACCCCCTGGGCCTGTGATGTTAAACCCCCTGGGCCTCAAAGAGTTAAATGAGTGCCAAAGCATTTTAAAAGGGGTACAGTAGTTAACATAGTATCGACTACACAGCTCACTGGTCACAATAATTTGAACTCAGCATATCAGAGTGGCAGCAGGCTTCTACCTTGCCTAATGATTTTTTTTTCTTTTCTTCTTCTGCCCTTCTAACCCCCAATAGAGCCTAATGATGATCAGTTGTAAATCTATGCTCTTAGCAACCTTATCACTGAATATGTGTATTACTAACTGATTTCTTTAAGAGAACTTTACTCTGTCACATTGGGTTCATGAAAGTAAAGTGTCTCTCTTATTCACTTGTAAAGGTAAAAAGAACTTTGTCCACGCCTCACACATGTTGGGTCTCTTTGTGGATTCTGGGGTTCTGTTTTGCGGGGGGAAAAGAACTGACCCAGTGCAACCATATCATAAAAGTTAACTAATTCTGGGTTTACTTAAACTGGATATGTTGAGCTGAAGGGGGCCCTTATAAAGGCATAAGAAGAAGCATATTGGGCATATGCACTTGTCTAAACCTCAATGATGCAGTCAGTTCAAATAATTTTATTTTGTATGATTTATTGTTTGCTGTAATTTCAATGTGCTAATTATCCGTGTGATACTGTTGTTTGCCTTTACCTATCTGTTTTAATGAGACCTTTTTGTTATAACTTTATTTTGATGATGTCATGTATTCAGAGAAATGGGTGGTTTGCTCGTCATCCTTGCATGGGCAGGTATAGCCAGATACATGTCGCCTGAGAGGTAGGTATATTCATGCTGTTTTCCCAAAAATATTAATTAACTCTTTGAGTCTCAAGGAACGCATCATAAGTTCATAGGTTACTGCCTAGAACCTCAATGAACGCATGATGCACCGATTTAAGTCTCTTTTGACTACCTCTTGGGCCTGTGATGCGAAACCCTCTGGGGCTCAAAGAGTTGAGCGCACTTTTATTTTATTATTTTTTCCTTTCTAATTTCTTCTCTGAGGAGTGGCTGGCTGAAAAATTAAGAAGGCTGGGCTCTCATGTGGTAGATGCAGGTTCAAATCTTTCTTAACTTTATGGGTTTTTAAAATCCTAACCTGCGCAGTCCATGGTAACTGCGCTAGCCATACGGCCTTAACTCTACAGGCTCAAAGACACCTCCCCATCCCCTGTCTACACTGCAAGGTTGGTAAATACAGACAATAATGGCTGTTAAAAAAAAAAAAATAGGTAGTATATTTCTTTATAGGGAGTCGCCATGGCATTGGCGGCTAGATGCTCCTCTGTGGGTCGGAATGTCGTGGGTTCACGTCCTAACAGAGCCGGACTTTAAAAAAAAAAAAAATTCTTCTTCTTCGCGTTCAGCAGCTGTAAACTCCAGTTGGTCCACTTCTGGACTGCAGTCCTTTTCCAGAGTGTTGCGTGTGCATTTCTTTTACAGATCTGATTTATTTGTATGCAGACTGCTAGTTCCTTGCCTCGCAGGCAGATGCATTCCGACTTTGAAGGAAGCTCCCAATTAGTCGGCAGTGGGTAGGCAGTGGGTCTATTCTTGTTTTCCTATAATAGGGCCCTGGAACCCACACAGGGTTTTTCAAAAATGACCTATGACTCCCAGATCGACCCAGCCTTGAGTGGGTATCAGATGCAGTCCTGGAAAGTAAGGGCGGCCGGCATGTTGCTGACCACATCACCCACCAAGTGTTGATTGGTCTATGAAAATATAGGTCTAGCCCTATATTGCCAGTACTCCTAAAGGTGTGGAAAAGGGTCCTTACTTATATTTCTTTATATATTATATTTACTTTAAAAACTCTAAAATGGGAAACAAATGGTCTGAGAAAAAGAGGAAGCCCAATGGAAACATTAAGAAGAACATTATTAAAAAAAAAGCTAAAAACGCTGGGCTGAACCCCATGTTAGAAATCAAGACAGATGAAAATACCCTTGCTTCATGAATTTTCGGGGCCAAAATGTCTCAGTGTTCTGTGTCTACCTTGATGCTGGCTGACCCCTGTCTCTTTTTTTGTTCTGGAATTATGTCTTCCATTGGTGCTTTCTCTAACTCTGTAATGTTTAATTTGGCTAAAGTATTTCAGTTTCTGAGACAAAAAACTAATTATGAGCCAGTTTGTTTTTCTCCATCAGAGATCAGATGGTGTAAATAAAATATAAATATACATTTTCTTTTAGGTACACAGAATTTGAAGCAGTTTTTTTTTTTTTTAGTTCAGAAGACTCAGTTTTAATCTTTAGTGATTAAAGATAGCATATTCTACAATATTTTAATTTTATTTGCACCCTAATGCTGTACTATGTGGTTTTCACATTTTAAGCGTCTTCCTCTTTGCAATATTTTATTAAATTTATTTTTGTTTGATAATATTGTTTTTACACGTTCAGAAATAGATGTTTACTTTGTCTTTTCACACATAGAGTTAACTGATTTACCTCTGCTGCACATTTTAAACTGATGACCTGGTCTTCTGAGTTTTCTGGAATTGGATATCCATTAGTATGGGTAAATAAAACAAAAGTCATGTACCTTTATTGTTGAAATTTCTCAGTACACTTTCTGTGTAGATGTAGAATAGTTATAGAGAAAGAATGCTGCTCTGTCTTTCTCCCTTTTGCACCTTAACCAGTTTGATGTTTCACTGGCTACTCTGACAGCAGTTTGTTTATAAAATAATTTTTAAATTAAATTGTGCTTAGTGATCCAAACTTTTTGTTCTGGAACTTGGTTTAAAGTCTTACTGTTTCTGTCAAACATATATGAAATATTAAAGAATTGTTATATGTATGTTATAACTGATTTATATTCTTCTTCTTTGTATTCACCGGCTTTAAACTCTAGTGGAAAGTCCTGGTTGTTCGTCCACCTCTGCACTTTACTCTTGTTTCAGAACCTGAGTGTTGTATGCATATCCGTGTTACAGATCTAACTTATTTATATGCAGACTGTTAGTTTCTTACCTCTTAAGGGGTCACTACACCAAAAATTTTTATTTTTTTATTTACAGACTTAGAGAAGTTATTTTATAATGGCCATTTGTAGGGATATATTTTATAACATTTGTATACTTTAAGTGTTAAAAAATCATAGTTGTCATGGCAATAGCCGCCATCTTGTAAAAAAAACAATATGTACTTAGAATCCTTAAATTTTAAAAGCGAACATAGGTATTGAACAATAAATGATAGATCCATGACCTTTCGTCCTATTTAGAGGTACTGGTCTAGTTTATTTACTTTAAACATGTTTTTAAATATTTTTCGTAGAATTTTTAAATGTAGGTTTATTGAAAAAGTCAAAAAAATCTAGCATCATTAGACAATAATCAAATTTTAGAAACAAAACCTTTCTAAAATCTACTTTTAGATAGACCAGTCCCTATAATATTGTTTATGGAGTATGCATACAAAATTTGATGATTTTACTCTTTATATTAGCTTAGATTTTAGGATTTCACACACACAGCAAACTGAAATATAAAGATTTGAGAAAACTGACTTTTAAACTTTTTTTTTATCTTCAAAAAGTGCACGAGGTGGTGTCATTAGTATTAACTTTCCAATGCTAAATTGTTTACAAATGACATAAATTTTTTGTGTCATCTATTGTACGAATGCCGAACTTTACAAAAACGAACACATTGAAAAAGTGATATTTTTGTCATAAATTAGGAAAAATGTCGTGCAGTGACCCCTTAAGGAGATGCACTCTGACTTAGAAGAAAGCACTGAACTAGTCAACTCCTACGACATGCTTGTTGGGGAGGTTATGGGTCTGTTCCTGTTTTCCCCATAATGATGCCCCGGAACCCACATGGAAAGTGGTAATTTATTATATTATTGATTTAAATGTAGACAGATATGTATAACCTGTGATATTATTTCAGGGTCAAAGGTATTGAAAGCAGTCAGAGGGCCGCAGTAATCATCTTTTGGTTTATAACCTTCTTGGCCAGTATTCCACTCCTTTTGTGGTCACTCTGTTTTATTGATGATTGGCACAAAGATTATGGACATTGTAACGGCATGTTTCAGAAGTAAAATTGTATATGGTGACTTTTCTTCATTATAATGTCATATATTCAGAGTTAATGTGAATTCCGGCATGTTCTTTATGTGAATTCCAGCATGTGAAAGCGACTTCTGTTTACATGTTCATGCTTGATAAATGCTTGCTGCTAAATCAATGTTATCTCAAGTCAGCCAATGATTCGTTACCTCAGTTTCCGTTGAAGTCTGATCACATCTGCCGGAGAGGTCAGGAACAGAGTACACACATATATGGCAGATCAGTAAAACAGCTGTGCATGCCAAGTTGAAGCCTTGTAACAAAATCAATGTTTAGAAGCTGATGAGCAACTTGGGCTTTCCATTGGAATTTACAGCCACTGAAGGCAGAAGATGAAGAATTACTTTAACTATGATCAATGCATGAAAGCAATGTTGAGAAACCATGCAAATTGGCCTGAAATTTAGCATGCAAAACCAGTTGTTATTGATGTACATATGTAAGCAATATATGTGGTGAAATATGAAAGTTTAAAGATGATTATCTCAAGTCAGCAAATGGTTCATTACCTCAGTAATAACTATTCCTTAAAAAGCTGTTTGAAAACAATCAATATTATATCAGATGGACAGACATTCAACGGATAATGGGAGAGAGCTCAAATTTATCTAAATCAAGGGGTGGGGGATAGATTGCACATTGAGAAAACCCATAATAATAGCATAGCTAGAGTGTACTTGCACTGGAACCCATAGGTCCAAAGAAGCACAGACACCACATTGAGAGAGAGAGAGAGAGAGAGAGAGAGAGAGAGAGAGAGAGAGAGAGAGAGAGAGAGAGAGAGAGAGCAAAATACACAGAGAAGAAAATTTAAGACAAGGGTAAATAAGATATGGCAGGCACGAAGTGATTGTGAGCTGCAAAACATAGCAAAGGATAGAAAGGCTTGGGTCGGTTGATTGAGGGCTTATGTTCCATTAGGAGATGATGGGCAGAAGAAGGAAAAGAAAGTTGGAGGCTGATCAAACAGGTTTCAGAACAGGACACAACAGACTGAACTTTGATCCCTCAACAACTGTACACTGGAGAGCAGTCATGATTTAGTGACTAAATGACCCGAAGGATGTGGGTTCAAATCTGTACAATGCTAGACATTGGCTCCCATGTTGACCAAACCTGTTATAGATAACTTGGGAAGTATATGTGGCCAGCATGATGGTGACCGAATCACCCACTAAGTACCATTTTATCTTTAAATTTGGGCCTAACACTATATTCCCAAAGGCATGGAAAATGGTCCTTTACTTTACCCACTGTGCCCAAGTGGACGGACAGACAAGAACAAGCTGAACATATCCTTCAATACTGCCGTAAATTGTGCCAACTACAAACTGTATTTTAGCTCACAGAAAATAACCACCCATTCCAAACTATATTGGTGTCTCAAAAAGTACAGTAAATGACCCTTTTCCACAACTTTAGGTGTATAGGGCTAGACTTATATTTTATAGACCAATCGGCACAAGATGGGTGATGTCAGCATCACATCAGCCGATTGGTATATACATGAGTGCTAAAATACACACCAAAATACCAGGCTTGTGTAGACAGTAAACAAGAAGAAATTGAGAGGAAAGCTGACACACTACCCAGAATCACACTGCTATTTCAGTTAAGAGAAATAGATGTACAGAAAAATCTTGTTGTGTGAGTTGTGTTTATTTCATTGGTGATTTTCACATTTGTTTAGCTCTCAGAAAATCCATAATGACATTGTTGTATTGAATCTGTCACATTTGATCACCATTATTTAAATTTCAGATTAGAAACATTTGCAATGATTTGATTGGTTAATTTTGTGAGTAATGATTAACATTGTCATAATCTGAAAAACAGACTCGAAGTAACAAATAAAAGCCTTGTTTAATGGGTGGCAGTTAATTCTTCTTTATTTTTGTCAGTTAATATTATATTCTCACAATTTCTTGGGCTCTCTGTAACTCTTTCAGTCCCATATCCACAAAAAGAATAACTGCCACAAAGGATTTAGCTTGAATGGATTACTTTCACAGGGGTACCATACATACACCGTTATGTGTTAAAATAACTGGCCACATTTCTATAGTTTCTTTTTCTGCCTTTCTAGCCCCATAAAAAAAGAAGTTCCTTATGTTGCATAAATAAAAGCATATTGTTGTACTGTATTGTGTTTTTAGCTCTTTTCTTAACTTTTCTGCTTGGAGAGCAGAGTCTGTGTTACTACTAGACGCGTCCACTGGGCGGCGGATGGTGGAGTGGTCCTCTAGATATAGAGGTTAGCCCAAATTAAATATTGAATAAGCGGACATGAACCAATACAGGTTGAGAAAAGAAGAGTTAGTTATTGGAACAACTAGCTCTATAAAATACCTCAAAACTACGTGGCATGGCCATTGATGGGAAAGAGGCATCATTAAAACCTCTTCTCCCTGCTACCTTGCAGGGTACGTCTGTTTAGACAAAGGCTATTGGAGTCAACCCATACACAAACCGGCGAAAGATTAAAGGAAACCATCGCCGTATTTTCTCAAGAAAATCATGTCTTTAAACAAATTGTATTCAGTCTGATTTTACATGATATTGAAGATCGTAGTTTGTGGAGAGGCGTGATCGTCCTTGCCAGTTCGCAAGGCACTTGATGGTGACGATGATTTTCTGATGAAAACTATGTCTTTAAATTTTCTTGTGTTAATTTAACACATGATACTGAAATAAGACAGATACGCGACCACCCTCCGTGTCTAAAAATTTTCTTGCCTGCACGTGACAACACCTAAGCATACAAAAGCCTACTCTGACAAGCGTCACTACCCCCAAATAGGCCTAGACAGTACCTGGCAATCCAGTCTTCCACCTGTTTGTTACACACCTGGTGGGTAAACATCGATAGATGACGTGTAACATTACAAAATGAAACCACAAACTACATTAAACACCCCCGGAACTTTAAATACTTCATTACCTCACATGTGGGTTTTAGGGTCCTATTTTGGAATGAAAAAGAACATACTCCCACACAAGGATGTCGTAAACAAGAACTAATTAAGAGTTTTATTAAATCAGATGTTTTAGGCCAAAAGGCGCAGATAGCACAGCCTATCTGTAAACCACAACACAACGTGCCAACCACCTTTTAGGGTGAATACGGAAAAATAACTCTAGTGATTAATCTGTACTCCATTCAGCTCACATTTTGCCACTTGTGACAACTATAAAAAGATTTACTGTAATTTAAAATTAAGGTAGAAAAAGTGTTTGGGAGGGGGAGGGGGGCTGAATCTATAAAACATTTAGTACTCAAAGAATGCCTAATGTGCAGATAACCTAAACAGCGCCCTCTAAGGAGCGCCGTATAAAGAAATCAGGAGCCATCAACAAGTTTTCTAGTAAATAAACAGACGGGAAGCTCTTGAGGTCGTAGGAATATTATATATGTAATAAACAGACAAGGTATTGATTGGCAATCGTAGAAAGATATACTAGACAACATAAAAATCGCCGTGCCGGGAATCGAATCTGTCACCTCCATATGTTTTGATTTGATTTGGTTCAAGAACCGACATCACAGCACTCGGGGCATTTCCATAAGCGCTCCGTCCCGATCTTCAACAGCCAGCGAAGAGTTCCGATACTAATGGTGCCAGTAGCATTCTGATTAAACGTCCGTCTTGCCTTTCCTCTGAGCCTCGAGCATGTGCCAGAACCTCTCGTCACTTCCAGCTGCATCAATCTCACCAAACTGTGGTGATCCATCTGCCCCTCTAACTGTACACGCTCTCCCACAAGGCACTAACCACGTCTGCCCTATTATGTATCAGTATTCCACCAAGTTGTGCAGAGCCAGCCATTCTGTCCGCCTGTTCATTTCCCAACATATCAGCGTAACCCGGGTAAAAAATCCAGACAATACTCCTCACCCATGTCCTCCACAACGAAGCATGCCACTCTGCACACCTGTTCTGATCTTCCTCAGCATGCTTTCTGAATCAGTTACAATCACGATGTGTGTGTGTGTGTGTGTGCGTCGTGTTCTCTAGCCAGCGGAAAGTTGCAGTGACCGCCTCCACATCCATTCTTAAGCTGGATGTTGTGGTATCATATGCTAGGCTCTCCTGCACCAAATGTCGACCATTAACTCTTGCTAAGAAACCCCAAGCACTTCTTTTGCCTCTTGAAACTGAACCGTCTGTGTAAATGATCAAATCCTCTGAGCGAGCATTATCTTGAATTAATTGATAAATTTCCCCCTCCGTGGCACCCGCTGGCCAGTCTCTGCATTCCCTGCTCAGCGTGATTATGACTCTACACAAGTCTGACTGTTCAGGTGGCACTTTGACCTATCCATGACCTCCCTCTTATCAGCCGCTGACCCTAAACTGCACACAGAGCTTCATGCAGAGGGTGGCCTGTGTCTGCAGCTACCCTGAGATATGACTTCGCCTGCAGCACCTTGTGCCTACCTGCAACCGTCGGCAAACCAAGAATGTATTGCATACACACCACTGGGGGGTCTCTGGTGCAACCCAGAATGACCCGCATAGCCGCGTTCTGTCTTAATGTGTCAAGCGCAGAGCATATGGCGTGTGCTCCTCGCTAAGGAAACAAGCGTACTAAGAACAAGACCAATTAGACACTCCTAAAAAAAGTGTCTTCATGTTTGTCTATGCTAGACAAATCATTACGGTCTGCTGTGCTTGTAAATTTTTGCTGTTTTGTTATTCGACCTATGCTTGGTTAATATAAATTTATGTAACCTATAGTGCCATTTCAGTAGTATGAGATTAATTCTGTCCGTATTCAGTAGTTGTGGATTTCATGTTGTACGATAGACATGGCGAATAAAAACATCCTTTTTTAGGGGTGTATAGTTAGTTATGTACTTAGTACGCTTGTTTTTATAGCGAGGAGCACACGCCATTTTGAGGTGACAGGTTCAATTCCCGGCACGGTAATTATAGCTTTTATGTTGTCTAGTGTGTCTATCTATCTTTCT